ATGGTTAGAATTTTTACTGATGCACTTAAACGCGTGTTTATGTGTGTTCGTTACTCTACAGTGTTTATGACGAACATAACCAAGACCATTTTCTTGCAGTAAGCAGATTCAAATATTTATCACAGCTCCCTTACCAGTCATAACTTGTGGTTACGCTAGACATTATTTGCTACATGAAGAAACTTTTGCACACAACTGAACTTAACTACATCTGAACTACTGAAACACCCCTGACCCATCATAACTAATACTAGGTGTATGTGTGTGAACTATCATTTCTAGATCATCACCAGTACAAGTATTTAAATCATCCCTACCACTATCACCACTACCAACACCACCGCTCCTGCCACCACTACCAGCACCACGTGTGGTGATAGCCAACGCAAAGTTTTAAAGACAAAAGTTTGTTGGAATGAGTTGGATTCTGGGAAAAAGTTTGAGCGGGTGGGAGTTTGGGAGAAGAGGTGGGAGGGGGTGACAGTGGGGGATGTGTGGTAGTGGTGATTGTGGTAGTAGCTTTGGTGATGTCAGTGATGTTCATGGTGGCATTGGTGTCAATCAATCTACTGGTGGTTGTGGTGGAGGTAGTGGTTCAGGTGGTGACTGATATTAATGGTGGTTGTCACCAGAGCCGTCCCTAGGGGGTGCGGGGCCCCTTTGCTGGTTAAAATAAATTTTTATTTTTATAGTTATATACGTATATACTGAAATATACATAGTGTTAATTCCCCAATCATACTATTACGATGCCAAGTATTATGTAATTTGCTGTTATAACATCTTTCATATGTTTCCCCATTTGGCAGTCTTCGCATGTAAAATTCTTCTGAAAAGTGTCGATTTTCAAAAAAATTTGGAAACATAATTTTCACTGGATAACAGGTCCCTTTTCTACCAAAATATCAATTATCGTAGTGTCCATTAAATGTGGCCAGTTGTGCTGAATCACATAGATCTTCATCGGCATGCCCATTAGCGGTGGTAGAACTATCCATTTTAAAAGCCTTAGCATTTTTGTCAGTACTCTCCTCTTCCCCAGCTTGAATATGACCCACACTATCACCCTCACAGTCGCTCAGGTCCTTTTTTGCACTAGTTTCTGGGATTTTTGAAAAAAACATTTTTCTTGGGAACCTTTCATTGACATTTCGAATTCTTCTATCTTCCTTTTTTCTGTATCTGTCTCTATCCCTATCCCTGCTGGCCATGATATAATGAAAAACGGGGGCTGTGTACGATAGTAAAATAATGTATGTCAACAATTTCACAAGACACAAATCACGCCCGTATTATTAAACATCTTCCCTTGAAGAGGGTCGTCGTGTTTCAACCCGAGTTTTAAACTGAATGAGTCCTGAGGGACACCGCAGTACTATACTTAAGGGGGTGGTGTGGCGGTAAAATTAACTAATTCCAATACAGTATTATAAATTAATTTTGGATCACCCGAAGAATTGTCACCCCAGAGTCCGGCAGGGTGACAATTCTTCAGGTAGGATATCCTGGGACGACGATTCTTCAGGTGGCAACACCTGGGGTGACAATTCTTCAGGTGGGGTCAGGAGCCTCCACGGTTGTTAATCTTCAGGTTAGTGGAGTCAGGACCCTCCTGTCAGGTAGGAAGACTATATAATAGTAAGTGGGTTCAAATTTTTTTTAGTCATAATCATCAGTCGACCATGGGTTTTCGGTATCGTCGATACGAGCAGGAGCCCTTCAATTGGCTACATGGAAATTGCCGAGACAAGGGATGCTGCCACCCTTCTTCCTATAATACTCAAAGTTGGTTCAACAAGGATCAGTCATTCACAGTGATGAGTGGAGAGCATACCGCAATATTCAAGGTCTTGGATACACGCACAGAACTGTGAACCACTCAGTCAATTTTGTGGATGTGAATACTGGTGTGCACACACAAACGATTGAATCATATTGGAACGAACAAGAGTTACATCAAGATCATGCGTGGCTGCAAACGAAGCTTTTTAAATTCTTACCTTCAAGAATTTATGTGGCATGATCGTTTTTCTGATAATCCTCTGGAAATTTTATGTCAACAAATTGCTGTTCAGTACCCTTTGTAATATGCATCACAATAAAGATGCATAACACAAAGGAATATATTTATGTTATCCTAATTATTCAAATTATATTCACTGTGGGCTGGGGTGACGATTCTTCAGGTGGAGCAGGTTGGGGTGACAATTCTTCAGGTAGACATTCTGGGGCGACGATTCTTCAGGTGATCCTTAATTTTTAATACAATTAACTAGTTCCAATATTATAAATTAATTTATAATATTGGAATTATTTAATTTTACCGCCACACCACCCTGTTAAGTACAGTACTGCGTTGTCCCTCAGGACTCATTTAGTTGACGACCCTCTTCAAAGGAAGATGTTGTTTAATATTACGGGCGTCAGAGTTTCGACAACACTGACAGGTGACCGCTGTCAACGTCCTCACTCCTCTTCGACAGAGAGCACAGTAAAGAATGACATTGTTCTGGGTGGTAAGATGGGGGTGGCTTTGACCTCATGTCAGCACTAACTGAGCTGGTCACTAATCCTTCAGGTGGACTCCTGAATTTGGGTGGTGAGGCGAGGTCAGCTTAACGCGGCCACTAATTCTTGTGTTGGGTGGGGTAAGGGCCGCGGGGCCCGGGGCGGTCGCACCGGTAGCCATACCCTTGGGACAGCTCTGGTTGTCACTGATCCCGGTGGTAGCCTAATGGTTGCTGTGGTGGTGGAAGCGGTAGTAATTATGGCATTAAAAAGTCTTTGAGCCAAATGTTTCAATATGTTAATGTATTCTCTATAGCTGTTTTTATCATCGATTGATTACATCTTTTATTTATGTCAGAAATGTGTCAAAATTACACATTTCTGCCAAAATATAAAATGAATATAATTACTTAAAAAATTGACATGTGGTAAACTTTAACTTGTTATAGTAGTGGATAGGTTTAAACATTATGTAGCGAATGGAGCTTTAAACCCAGCCTCGCCTTATTGGATCACAAGACTAGAATCAACTTTGGGGGGGGGGGGGTATTTAGTGGTGAAATTCTTTGGTAATTTTGTCCGATGGAAAATTGTCTGAAATGGATTCCTTTCGGCTGATATCTGGTTCCTGGACTCAGAATCATGTAGTGTCTTGTTACTCAACCGTGCTGAAAGAAAAAAAATGTAGATTATTTTTTTCTCAAGAGTAGCGAGAAAATTTTAAGGAGTTTGGAGTTAGTGAAAGTTGGTGGAGTAAATCTTTGGTGGCTGGCCAGTGCTAAATGATCCTTTGTTGATGTGTCACTTGGTTCAGTTGCCCCATTTTTATACACTTGTCTCAACAACACTGATGTCACGTGTGGAGGTTCCGGGGGATACATTACGTTGAGTTGAGTAAGGTTACGATATGTTGGGTTCTGTTAGGCTCTTCAGCCCCCATTTTACATAGCTTCATACTGGATCACTCACTACAGGGAGTTGTGTGTGTGTGTTGCTTCACCAAGGTCTACTTGGTACCATAGGGTTAAGTGTAGTGTCCCCTATTGTATTGAATGAAATGTTCTCGTCTTCGGAGGCATCACCGTAGGCCATTGTATTCAAAGGCTTAAAAGTTTCACGGAAGTAAGTCATCCAACTCAGGAGGAAAGGCATTTTCAATATAAGTCTAATTCATTATGCTTGTTAGTTGGCATCATGCTGACAGGTTTCGTGATAATTACTCAGAAATATAAGTACAGATACACAGGTATACACGAGTACAGCCAAGTGACAGTATTTTACGAGAAAAATCGTATGATCAGCATACACTATTACCAAGTCATGTGTAAAATTATGGTACATCTTTGTATTATGCACATTGAAATGTGAATTTTTGATGTGGAGGGAGGAATGGTTTGAAGGTGGGGGAGGAAGATAGTGCACTGCCATCCCCTTGGCGTGGTTTTTGTGGACAGGCTTTACTGTACACGTAGGAAGTTTGATATACAATAATAAGTATGGTTGGTGGGGTGAGGAGTTATGGGGTTAGAATGAGTAGTAGTAGTCTCGAGAAGGGGGGTGGAAGGATAATATCAAGATGGAGGAGGTAGTATATGTCTGGGGTTGGTGGGGTGAGGGAAGGTCGAGAGAGTGGGGGAGGGGGGTAATGGACAGGGGGAGGGGGAGGTGGAGAGTGAGGGAGGGGTAAGGAGAAGTGAAGTTTTAATAGGAAAAGTTGTGTGACAGAACTTGGCGCTATCAGTTTTGACAGAAAAGTTTTGTTTTGGAGTTGTTGGAGGGGGTGGAGGGGTGGCATGGAGGTAGATGTTGGAGGTGGGGTGGGGGTTAGTTAGTAGAGGGAGGGGTGGGGTGAGAGTTCGTTGGTAGACGCAAGATTGGGTTGGTGTGGAAATAGAGGTTAGTGGCATGGTGGCGGCTTGTGGATTAAGAAAGGGTCTGGAAGTTGAGGTTGGAGGTGGGGGCTGGTAAGGCAGGGTTTGGGGGTGTTTGAGGTAATAGAGCGGGGCGAGATGTTGGGGATGGGGGTGTCTCGCCTGGCTGTTCTAACGAGGTCACCACCCCTAACTCTGGTGTTTCCCCTGGATGCACAGAATAAGTGTTTGCTATATGAAAAAATACGCAACATTGCAATTAAAACTTCGTCAAAAATGTCACTTCTCGCATGTCGAAAGCCTCCCCCATAACTAGTATAACATAAACAAAAGCTTGAAAATAAAAGGCCGAATTTTGAGTCAATTTGGTAAAATTGAGAACAAATCCTTTCACACGTTCCTCAAACTTTCCATGTCTTTATAGAATTCGCTGTAATTCAACAATTCACGAACCAAGATGGACTGTAAATACAGATTCAGAACCCAAAGCCAGTCAGGCCTTAATAACAGAACAGTCGTTGGATACGTTACTCCGCTGCTGCCGGCTATATGGGCTTAACTTTTACAACCACGTTTGTTTGTTAAGCATGTTTTTTTCATTGATCTTTTCTTCTCCCACAGGTTGATCATTGGTCTGTAGAATGAACTACGCAACGCACTACACCCAGTGTAGGTAAGTCCTCATTGAATCTGTTGCACCTCTTATTTATAAGGTCTTTCATTGTTTGTTTTACACTTTTTATTTGTTGCAAGTATGCCTCTCATAGGTTCTGTTACATCTGTTATTTGTAAGGAGGACCCTCACTGGTTCTTGTATGATCCCTGTTGTGTGTGAGAGCCCCCTCCTCTTTACATAAATATTGTCTTAACTAGCATTTTCCTGGAATTTATACAACTCAGAGCTTTTCCGCTTTACTCCCTGGCGAGGCTAGCCGCCTATTGACCATACCCTAATCTAATATACCCTAACCTATGTAGCATAATGTAATCTACGTTAGCCTAAAAAGCATATTCTAACCTAGTTTATCCTAATGCTCTAACGTAACAGAACTTATGCCACCCTTCCTCACCTTTACCTAGCTTATTAACATTTACAAAATCCTGTTTAGTTTAGGGTGAACAAGTCACAATACTATATGTTATTTTACTGCACTATGAATTGGCAACGTGTACCAGCGTACAAGTGTATTTTCTAGCTGTAGCTCTTTGTTATTACAATTATCAGTTACATTTCTATGGTAAATTATATACCATTAGAATTGTTGGTTAAATTCGTAGCAGGGGTTGCTCTTTGTTTCGTAATTTGTAAAGTTTTCATCGTGATGTTAAGGTAATTTATGCTGAAGAAAATTTTACCGTCAGCAGTTGGATGGTTTAGTAGTTAGATGTGTTAAAGAGCTAGTAGAGCTTTAGGATATTTTAAAAGATATTTTTAGGGGACTATTAACTTGGGTGGTCATAGTTTGGTTTGTTTAATAACTTAGATTTTAATGTCAAGATACCGTGGGTAAGGTTTGGTTCATAATTTGGGGATTAAGTACTTGATATACAGTAATTGTGTTACGTATCTTTAACGTGACTTGTGCTCATCTTGACAGGTGAAGTGGCAACAGACAAGTGAGGGCTCGTCTCACTGCCACTACTCCCTCACCCAGTACACACTTCCAAAATTTAGGTAAGATTCATTACCTAGTACTGTGCTAAGCTTGGTGATTCTTGGGAAATTTTATACAACTCTTTTAAACTAAAGATACGAACACTGCCAAGATAGTTTAAAATAACATACGTAGTGCAGCATGCTAGCATGCTCTTTTCTTTCTTTTCGTTGGGGGGGGGGCTTGACGCAAAAAGGGTAGGGATCATGATATGTGATAGAAATAAAACGCTTTACAATGCTACAGTATAGTAAATTGCAAGTTTATGTCTCCTTTGTGTTTGATTTGAACTTGACCTATCACTTATTGGTTAGTGAATTAGCCAATCAAATGTCATCGTTCCGTCATTGGGTACTGTGTAGGCCGTTTGAAGTATCCGGGTGTTTTATGGTAGATTCGGTTGTTTTCGGGCAAACTATCGTTGGTTGAAAACTATCTCCCGTATTATTAAACAACATCGTCCCTTGAAGAGGGTCGTCGTGTTTAAACCCGAGTTTTAAACTAAACGAGTCGATTGACACCACAATACAGTACTTAACGGGGTGGTGTGGCGGTAAGATTAACTAATTCCAATATTATAAATTAATTTTATTGGAATTAGTTAATTTTACCACTCCGTTAAGTACTGTACTGCGGTGTCCCTCAGGAGTCATTTAGTTTAAAACTCGGGTTGAAACACGACGACCCTCTTCAAGGGACGATGTTTAATAATACGGGCGTATGCGTTGACAAGAAGTGTCAGTTTAATGCACTTATTGTGGCAGTAAAACAATGGTGATCATTTACTACAGTAATGTATGTATGTGTAATGATTCAAAGTTATCTTTAAATTGGATTTTTTTTGTGTGTACACAGTGAAATGAATTGATAGCATTTAACATTTCAAAACCATTACTGCAGCCACTGTGGCCTCGTAATCTCCGTATGGTCATGACAGTGTTTGGTACCGACAACATGAACAAAGACTTGTGGATCGACCGTAGGTTTTAGTAAACAAAATCCACGTGTTTAACCCACATAAATATGCTCCATGTGCTTAGCTGATGACACTTAATATTATTTTCCACTCAGGTGTATAGTCAAAAAATAATATATTTTTTTAATTGTATACTGTGTAGTGTTTGTGATTGTTGCAACTTAATGAATCTGGAATGAGCTAACTTCAAGTACAGTGCATGGTACTGTATATGTGTTTTTCATGGTAATCACTTTACTTATATAAACCATATTTGTAAGTCTTTAATGTTGGGAGGTGAAAGAAATTAGAAAAAGTGTTTGAGGACACCAAAAAAAATGACAGGAAGTTTGATATAATATTTTAGAAAAGAACTGTGATGTCTAGAGAAGATAAACAGATCACAAATTGAAGTAGCTGGGTATGGTGAAGGATGTATTGATTTATACAAGGTGGTGCAGGTAGCTTTTATTTTGCAATTGTGTACAGTACTGTAATTCATCGCCATATATTGTGGGCCAAATATATTGGTACTGATGCCCTTCTGTTTTATATTCGACTGTATTGCCCTGAAATTTTGTTGAAAAAAAATTGAAGTTGGTGTTGCAGATGCTGCTCCCAATATTATAACATTATTATAAAGATGTAATTTTATTAAATGTAATGGTACAGTACTAATGGCAGTTCTTGTTTGGCAGTTAACGGCGTTCTACACAAAGGGGTGCATGGACAAGCCCCCAGGGTTAGTTGGGGCTGATCGTCAGTTCCCAGTACCACAGTCAGTTCCTGCAGCCATGTTAGCCAGCAACAAGCGGCCGCGGCTCGAAAGCATCCGACCCCCCATCCCCAATGGCCCTGGTATTCATGCCAGGCCCTTGGTGGCGCTGCTCGATGGTCGAGATTGTGCCATAGAAATGCCCATCTTGAAGGATGTGGCCACTGTTGCATTTTGTGATGCACAGTCAACCTCAGAAATCCATGAAAAAGTGAGTACATGTAACTTGTTTTCAGTTGACATGGATAGTATGGTGCATCATATGTTATGCAGCATGGCAAATGAAAAGACTAATACCTGTATGTCCACTTGTGAAAAACTTTTTCATCAGAATATTATACTGTTCCATATTTAGCTTATGGTTTAAAAACAATATCAAATTTTGCTTGTAATGTTTTCCTGATTTACAAATAGGATTATCTACTTATGAAAGATGAATCATAGTTGACCTTATCCTTCCCACCAGGTCCTAAACGAGGCTGTTGGAGCCCTCATGTGGCATACCATCACACTCACCAAGGAGGACCTCGAAAAATTTAAGGCGCTCAAAGTCATTGTTCGAATTGGCAGTGGAATTGACAATGTTGATGTCAAGGTATGTGTGTTATGGTGCATGTACTGTTTATATTATTAACTATTATTCCTTGTGCTTAATTTACATTTATTTTTTTATTTTTTCCCAGTTTACTTTTTATGAAATTGGAGGTAGAGATCAGGTAACTTGGCATATAATTTTTGTTTTGAGTTTTGTTGTTTTTAAAGCATCCCAAAGGAACTACAGCAGTGTGTAAGTAAACATTATACTGTAGCCATCTTGTTGGTCACTTCAGCTTTATGGTAGCAGAGACAATACCGTAAGTATCTTTCCATATCTCGGTGAAGTTTCCTGCACCTAAAGTTTAGTGAGTTATTAGGCCAGTGAAATCCATCTGCTCCAGTAATATTAGCATTTAGAATGACATTCCTGTTGGATGTTAAAGACCATGTATTCCAGGTAACCATATCTTTAAACATGTGTTAACATCGGGTAGCTCAGAAGACTACAATACGTTTATCCTTAAACTTGTGCTTCTTTCTAATTGTGAAATTTACCTCTGAGGTTTTTCCTTGGCTGCAGATTCTCACCCCTAAACGTAGGTGTCCTACCTCACTGATTAGGAGGATTTATAGAGTAATTGAGGAACACCTTTTCATGCCCTTTTCAGTACAGTAATAGAGTACATAAATTTATTTAATTAAATGAGTACAGTATGTCGTATACTCTATACAGTATACTGTGATGGAGTTAAGAGATATAACTTGGCTTGGGGGTTCTTTTGCCTGGAAAACAATCCCAAACAACGCACTGAACTAATACCGTATTGTTTTTAAAACTTGATGTTCATATGAATGTAGTACTTGTAAGTGTTAGAAGGCTGTTACTGTACTTTAATATTTATGTTATGTAATTTGCTACAAGTTTGTGAAGGTTGAGATGACCGTCGTGTGCTTATTAAAGCGTCTCAATTTTCCTGGTAAACTTGGTGAACTCCTGTTAAAAGTTTTTAATGTCTCAAGTTTGGAAAGTTATAAAACTTGTTTCACAGCAAACAAAAAGTTGAAAGTTGGATTCACAGTTAACTCGAAAAATTTCCCGACTTGATTAAAGTTGGCACATTATGGAAGACATTGATAAGATTATTTCTGAGATATAGGAGTAAGTTAGGGTTCAGTTTGCGAGATATCATGGTTGATGCTGTCCGCTGTCTTAGAAACTATTTAATAGAGAGATGTTCCTGGTCGTATCCAACTTCAGCTTGCGAGACCGATGCGGAGTTGTCGTGGAGTTTTAGTCATTTGACGAAAGTTTGGCAGAAAGCTTCCCTAAAGCTAAAAAACTTTTCTTTCCAAGTTGATAACTGTCTAAGTTGATTGCTGGAGTCTTCCAATAACAGAGTTTTGGGATAGTTAGAATTATTCACTCATGATTGGCTTCCCAGTTAAGTTTTTCCCAGAGTTCTTTTCCGAGTTTGATGAGGTCTGGACAAAGGAGAAAAGTTGGTGGTAGTGTTGAGAGTGAGTGTGTGGGTTCATAATTAGCAGGACTTGGAGGGGGGGGGGTTATGTACAATATACAGTACTGTACAGTACTTTGATATTGGGTAGAGGTTCACCTTTTATTTATCATTATTGGATATTTTTTACAGCCAATTAGCATATTGTACAACTGGAACACGTATCCTTTTGCAACACATGGAACATTTGTGAGTACTGTATATAAATTTTATGAAGAGTGTATGCTCTCAGTAGGAATAAAAAAATTTTGAAGATTAAATTAATTTCATGATAAGTTGGATGAAGTGGTGGGGGTGAATCGGTTAGATATCCCAAGGCTTTATTGTGGGAGAGAAATATCATAGCAGAGCACATCTGTTACAGTAGTGAATGAAGAAAATGTTTATACTAATGGAAAATGGTTTGTGTGAGTGAACAAGAAAGTAATTAATGTATCACCATAGGAAACTATTATTCTTAAGAAAGGAAAATAAACTAAGTAAAAAAGTTATTACTGAAGATTTTAGGCTAACTCAAGTCCTAGGTTCATGAAGTCTAGGGTAACTGGAATTTTGTCTATACCCCAATCACCGATTATTTATTGTGGGATTACTTAAAGTCAAATGTTTACGTGAAAATGCTAAGAAAACTACCTTAACAGAAAAACACCATCAGAGATGAAATAGCCACATTTGTACTGAAAACATTTCAAGTTAAGGAAGAATTCTTTTTCCACTGCAATGAATGCATACATTTTAAAGGAAGTTGCCTGATATCAGTAATTTCAAAGAAGGTGAATGCTAGTAATACCGTATTATGCTTCTTCAAAAATCTGGTGCTGTATACAGTATTTATGTTTTACTGCCTAAATAAAACAGTTTATTAAGAAAACAAATGTGGCCACTAAATAATTGTCAACATGTATTATACAGGTATAGTACAGTACTTGATGGGGAAAATTTGTAGTTCATATTTCAACCTATTTTTCAGTTACTGGTACAAATGTTAAGGGGTGGTTAAACAGGGATAGTTAATGAACATAATAGACCACTGGTTCCCAAACACGGGGTCGCATCATAAGGGGTTGCAAAGATATTATGTGGTCGATGGGGTCCCATAAAGTCCATATTCCAGATGACAAGGACTGAACGACGTGGCCGACAGGTGCTGTCTCGTTAAGTCGGCACCATAAATTATGGTCACAGGAATAATGCAGTTACTCTCCTTGTGTCAAGTTAGGTCAGTTTGGGGAAGGCGAACGCTGAAGACACGTTATGCAGCAGAAAATTCACACTCATACCTATGAATTGTTCTTAGCTCAATGCACTCTGTACTTCCCATGAATGCAGACAATAAATTGCAAAAAAATTCGATGGATCTTTGGATTTTGTTCGGTTTCTGTTTGACAGGTTGTAAAACAGTGTGGCTCTTGTACTCAAAATAGCAGAATAATAAAGGCTGACAATGAGGCAAGGGTGATTCTTGGCATCTATGATGACATATCAATGTTTTGGGTTATTTATCAAATTGAAATTCAGTGGTTAAAAATCGAGCTATTAAGGTTCCGATATAATTGGAAAATCTTTGAGGCAACTTTCTTGTCAATGGTGTTTGTAAAAAAATATCACCATAACCGTATCAAACTTAAACTTAGAGAATTGTGTGCTATATTGTTTAATCACATAATTATACCCCCAGTTAACATAAAATTTATTAAATGATAATGCACACGTTACGTATGAATTATGACTGATGTAACTTGTAATGAAAATTAGTTATATTAATGATGCACAAAAGTCACACACGAAATACATACAGTATGACAGATGTAACTAAGAAAATTGTATATTGTGTCGCTTAACATGTAATTATATCCCCACATATAGAACGCTAAATGGTCATGTAATGTCACATACAGTATTAAACATGACAGAGTTGTAGCCTGTTTTGCCAGTGTTTACTTTTTTACTTCTCAATTTGTAATATATTTTCCTTACTTGTTTTTACCGTTAAATACGTATATCAATATGTCCGTATTTACTCGTCCGTATTTTACAGCGTACTGTATGTAATGAATTGGGGTCGCACTGGAAAATGCTTGGGAACCCCTGTAATAGACAGATAAATGTTTGTATAGTTACAGCTTTAATTTTTTTGCATCATTATTGCAGTTGTTGAACCACCAGGGAGTAACAGGAAACAAATAGTACTGTACTGTATATCGTTTATCGAACCAAGAATCAGTGAAATTCAGGTTCTAAACTGTTTCTTGTCAGTGTAATAATATAGATTATTAACTGATGATGGTGATATCAATACAGTAGTAATAATTATTATTTTGAATGATAATACTGTACTGTAATGCATATTAGGCTGACAAATATTAGGTACATTGTGCATTTGCAGAAAATACATAGATCCTTCATATACTGTATGACCATTTTGTGTGCATTTGAAAAAATAGACATAGGTCAAGCAATCTACTTTTATTGAGTTATCAAGTTCAAAATAAATATTTCCATAAGAGAAGGGTGATTGTGATGCAGATTCAGAAAGGTGGTGAGGGCATTTGTGATAGAAGAAACAAGTGAAAAACTGGAATGCATGTCTGTTCGTTAGGGTAGTTTTAAATACCCTGTACTGCCATAGTACAGTAGAACTTTTAACCTATTACAAAGTTTTGAAAGCCATGCAGATTGGTGGTTTTGTTTTTTCCACTTTTTTTATAAGAGGTGTTTAGTTTTGTTGAGGGTGTGGTAAGGGTCAGTGTAGTTTAGTAGAAGCAGTTGTTGTAGCTCTTTGGGGATGGGAAAAAAGTGGATGGAATGAATGTGGAGAATTTAAGATATTTTGATATCTACTGTACTATGGATATTCAAGGCTAAGGTAATGTAAAAATCAGGGAGGAGTTGGTAAAGAGAGAGGGGGGGGGTGGAATTAGATGAGTGGAAATAGACATAAGGAAAGATAGTACAGTATAGTATTCTAATTCTATTAATTTGTCAGAGTTCGATATTTAACACAAATTACTTGAATTTTAAGATAGTGAATGCATATTCTTAATCAGCATGTAAAGGAGGACCTTTTTATGAAATTTTAACAATCTATTTTTTGACTTTGTGTGCCAAAACGTCAGGTAATGGCTCGGCGTCTCTTGGGGTACAGAATGCCTATTTTCTGGAGAGTGAAAACTGTCATGTTAAAATGGCAAAGTTAGTCTATATCACTGAGAAAATATATATAAAAGTAATTTAAAACTTATGGGTACACTGTAATCGACGTTTTAAATACTAATGTAAAACAGAATTAAACAAGTAATTGAGAAGCAGGGAAGGTGTGTTTCATGAGCTGTCCTTTTTTTAGTGGGCGACTTTTTGATTGTGCAGAAATTTGGAGTAAAAATAATTTTTTGCTTATACCCTTTATTATATACTACTTTATAAACATTTCATTAAAGTAACACCAGTAAATCTGGTTAATTATGCAATATGCTGTAGTTTATGGGATCGTTTGAGGAATATGAAAGAACTGATTCTAGGGGGTTTTGGGACTACCTCGGTTCAGTCTGTAACTACAAACCTGTGTTGTTGATGCTTATCTGACAGAGTGTTGGGATTTATAACTCATTAATCTTAAATCACCTTTTACCTGGCTTGTTAGACATAAAAAATATTTTTCCCGCCTCATTTTATGATAAATAGATTTTTTAAAACACTGGTGCACTGTATCACAATGGTTACACATTTCTTTTGAGGCTTTTATGAACCTACTGGACATGTCATCACTGTAATGATAACAGGAAAAAACAAATGAAAATGGCATTTTACACTCAAAGTACCATAGGAAAGAACTATTTTATTATTTGATAAAGTCAAGATGAACAAGATCAGTTTGGATGTATTCCATAAGTGGAGAGAAATTATCAACAGAAGAACCACACCCAAGGAATTGAGCAGGTGGGACACTTCAGAAAGTTCCAAATTGATAAAGGGAAATTTTCCTAAATATTTTACTGCAGTAAGCATCTTCCAAATAATGAAATGCTAGGATCCATGCTATGAGTTTGTGCAGAAGTGATCTGGTATAGCACTCATTAAGATTAACTATGTCTTGTTTGTTATCAGATCTGTAGTATTGAAACTCAAACATTGTAGTCATTCTTTAATCATAATAAACTGGTGTCTTTCTGATTTCTGTAGAAATATGCTTAATAGAATATGAGCATCTAGAGATTAATAATAATGCAGCAGTTATTTATGTGTGAGGTATGTTAATAACTATACGGTAATTTACATCTTAGTTCCCTATATTATAACTCTGCTTACTTTTTACAGGCTGCAGGAGAGTTGGGAATCGCCGTATGCAACGTCCCAGGATATGGCGTGGAAGAGGTCGCAGACACCACCATGTGCCTGATTCTAAACCTTTACCGTCGCACATACTGGTTGGCCAACATGGTCCGCGAGGGCAAGAAATTTACGGGTCCCGAGCAGGTGTGGGAGGTGTGATGATAGACGTGTGACCAACAGTGATTACGAGCCGCACACTTAGGTTCTGTCGTGCTCTGACTTTCCCAGTTAGAACTGCGAAATATGAAGTGTGTAGAAGCTTTGTTTACGGCCCATAATCACTGTTCGTCTTTAAATGAATTTGTTAGGCTTTAAGGTAACAGGGCATATTGTAAACGAGGAGAGAAAGGTTCCCCAAATATTAGATCATGGTATTCAGATTAAAAGCCAATTTTTTTCCTTAAGGCTTTTGAAGTCGAGAAACTATTCCGATTATCCTTACTACTAAATTTAATAATAGATATGCAAAGACCAATTAATTAAGAAGAAAAAAGAAATGGTCTTATCAATCACATGTAAGATCTCTATTTACAAGTAATGATTATTCAAACCAGGTTCGAGAGGCAGCCCAGGGATGTGCTCGGATACGTGACGACACACTCGGTATTGTTGGTCTTGGTGAGTATGTAGTCACTCTTGTAACAATGTTAGGTCAACCTAATATGTCAAGATGACACACACATTCCTACCTTTGTGCTTTATCTCTATTAACACTGTTGTGCTATTGGCATTAAGTTTATTTGATTGTAGAATGGTAGTGAGGCTAAGCTGGATAGCTTAAGGGAAATTTCTTTTGTAATGTACAGTCATATGGAGAAATGATAAAACATTTTTAGTTAAAAAATTAAAGTTTCTGTAATATTTATTAAAGAATTGTCTCTTTTTTTTTTACCAGAATTATCACACATGATGTGTAATGCTTAGCATGAATTTTTATTAATTATTTCGTCTGACACAGGTCGTATTGGGTCAGCAGTGGCACTAAGAGCAAAAGCATTTGGGTTCAACGTCACATTTTATGATCCTTACCTATCAGATGGCATAGAAAAAAGTCTGGGCATAACCAGAGTGTACACACTACAGGTGAGTTGGCACAATGAGTGTGGATATTGTTGCTCCCATTTTTTCACCTTTGTAATTCTTCCTACTATATAATGTGGTGGCAGGAATCCTGAGCAACACAAAAGATATATTTCTGCATTGAATATTATTTGATATTCTAGTTGAAAGTATGAAACCTAAATATTATTTATCCATGTAAAAGAAAAGATTCACTGTACCTCAGCTCCATGAGTACTCAAGAAATTTTAAAGTGACTTTTGAAATTTTTTTTAAATATTCATCCGCTAATGAGCAACTTGTTACTTGCAGGATCTGTTATACCGGAGTGATTGTGTATCACTGCATTGTTCTTTGAATGAGCATAACAACCATCTTATTAATGATTTCACCATCAAACAGGTAAACAAGAAATATATGATATATAAAACTTATACATTATTAGTTAATCTGTTTAACTATTTTCTTGATCTGCAATGTTCAGAAAAGATCTTAAATAAAGCATATACAAAGTTTGTCAGTTTTTCTAGACTTACAAGTAAAATGTATATGTATACTTTGCCAGATGCGTCCAGGAGCTTTCTTGGTGAACACAGCCCGAGGTGCATTAGTGGACGAAAATGCCCTTGCCTCTGCACTAAAGGAAGGAAGAATCAGAGCTGCAGCTCTCGACGTCCACGAGAATGAACCATACAACCCATTCCAGGGTAATGCTCTAGCATTTAGTTCCTTGGCCCAAAGGTCCTTGCGTGAGTTCAGTGCACAGTATTGGTCTAGTCTTACCATTAACCCCTCTCCCTGAATCCACTGTTTTAAACTTTTTCCTTGCCAGGAGTTTTCTCACAGTAGAGTGCATGGAGATGTTTTAACACAAGACTAAGCAACACTGACCCCATTCATTAGAAAATATGCCAAAAACTCACAATAAAGTTACCACAGCTCTCTCTATCTCCTTATCTAAGTAATAAAACAAAGATACCAAAAAATTTACTATTGATGCCATAATAAAGACACCAGGGAGATCTGTTGTGACAATATTGACAAGGCACCAGAGAAAACCTATTTCTCATGATTTCAGAGGTATTATAGAGAGCTTTGTTTTGCCATCGTGGAGTTCTATTGACTTCATTTATGTCACAAAAATATTATTACTTATATTTTCTTTTGGGCCATAGCAATGATATCCTTAATCTTTCTTTCCATCTTAGCAAAAACTATCATTGGTGGATTATTGATAATTATTTTGTAATCACTTGACTAGTGGATTCTGAACTATTTACTTGGGTTTCCTTGCATCTTCACATTATATTGCTCAGGTACTTTTCCCCTAAGGAATAGTAGTTCCCTGTAAATTTTGGTTAATTGGGTTTCTGATATTTAACTTCCAAGACTGATGAACATATTATGCAGGCACCTTGCCTGGGAGCAAGTTTTTTTTATTGCTTTTGTAGCTTATTAGGGGACATCCACAAATCTGGAGGCTGTTTTTATCAATAGCATGTGTTCCAACTTTTCTCTTTCTTGACACTGTAGTATGTATATGATACAATGTCAGCAGCACCTGTGTGTTACTTGCACATCTCTCCTTCCTACACAACAAACATAATGCAATCATCATCATTATTTTACAGCAATTTTTCACGCTTGCATGGATTAGCCACGGTTACCCGAAGGTAGTTCTCCATGCTGCACAGTCTCTTGTACGGTTCCTAACTTTGTTGTTTCTTACTACCTCTCCCCATGTCATTCTTGGCCTACCTCTGGCCCTTCCCCCTCCACTTGTAGGCTCATCAACTTCTTGACTCATTTTGGTCTAATCTGTTCTCTCCACGCAGGACTTCAATCTTTCAATACCCAGCCACTCCTTAGCTCTGAACAGGGCCTCTTGTCTTTTCAGTGTTACATTGCACATCCAACTCACCATTCTCATTTCAACTTGCTTAAGTCGACCTTTGTCATCCTCTTTAAAACTGCCCATATTTTAATGTCATACAACATAACACTTCTCGCACCTACCACAATTAAATATCTGCTTGGAGCTTTTTTTAGTTATTGGGCTCTACAGGTGCTTCCCTTCCTCGGTATACATTGTGCATAACTGGTTTCCACATCTATCACGTGATTATCTTTCTAGACCAGGTGGTGGTAAAGTAAGGAATTGGTTTCAATACGGTGATGGATGAAAGTGAAAGGTATACTGTGAGTGGTTGCAAGTGACAACACCTCTACATCTGTGGTAGTCAAGTTGAAAATCAAACCCACAGTAATAGATGAAAATTCAAATAAGTTTTCAAATGTTAATGTGGGTTTAAATCTTAGAAGAACTAAGGCTACTTTTAAAGGTCTAAGTCATTGCTTGGAAAAAAAAATGCTACTACTGTAGGTGTGTGAGTTGGCACCACATTCAAGTGTAGTTTTAGAGTAAATTTCCTTCAACTTGTCAGAATTGTTAGTTTTAATACATGAGTATATTGAGGTGAAATGCGAATTAAGTATGGGTTTTATTATAAGTTATCATTCTCAGTGATATGTGACAGGAATAGAGATTGAATAAATACAATGGCTGTTGTTTATTGATTGTAAAAATGTGAATTTTAAAAACAATGCCCTTCTACCCCATTTTAGCCTGGTATGTTAAATCATACTTTCTGGATGGGATTCAGTACTCGTATCTGTTTACAGTCATTGCACAAGTTTGTTCACAGTGATGTATTCGACAATTGACACATTTATCTTTGGAACCATACAGGTTTAATGCCTCTTCAACAAATTTGATAATGTAGGCTTGTGTACAGTGTGACTTGCCATTCTGTCTGTCTGAAGTTACTCAACACAAATGTCTTCTTGTGTTATTACTTTTGATGATTCAAGCTTTTATGTTTCCAGAGTTGTGTACTTGTGGGCATATCATGTTCTAGATACTGCCTAGTAGATGGTCACTCAAAAGTTTAACCCCCATGTGATGTCCCCCTAGTGAAGGGATTAGTGGAGATAGTGTACTAACCCTTTGTGTACAGTCACCTGTACTGAATAAAATTGTCTAAATAAAATATTAAGAGTGGTGTCATCGTAGTGAAGGGGTTAAGAGGTATCATAGGGGAATGATGGACTTGCATGTTTTTGCCTTCTATCCAGTATGTTTTCTGTCTGAATTCTTCTTTCTTTCTATATGTAGACTAGAGGAAAGTGACTTTATCAAATGTTTTCTTATTTAACAGACATTTAACATAGTGCATGTCTTGGGAGATTTTGAGCACAAGTCCAGCATGATTACAATCTGTTGAGTAGGTCTTTCTGCCTGAATTATTAATGTAATGGCACGATGCAAGGCAGTTAATTTTAGAATGCAATTCATTTACGTGTAATTAGTGACCATTCTAGTACTGTATCTCACACAGTATTGTAGTTACAGACTTTGTCATGGAAATGTACAGGGAGGCATCAGTCTGCTTAACTCATTTATACTTCAGATCTGAGTAGGTTTGAAAAAAAATCATACTGTCATTGTTTTGTTATACTTACAGGACCTCTGAAGGATGCACCAAACCTGATTTGTACCCCACACGCAGCATATTATTCAGATGCCTCTAGCAATGAATTACGAGAAATGGCTGCAAGTGAAATTCGTCGTGCAATAATAGGTCGCATACCTGAAGCTCTACGCAACTGTGTAAATAAAGAATACTTTATGAGTAACTACAGTGAAGGTGGTGTAAATGGCACTGCTCCATATTATGTGCCAGTTCACTCCACAACACATGACTCAGTACCAAGCGGTCCCCCACCTACCAGCCATGTGGGAGCAGGCATAGCACCACCTCCACACTTGCCACCTAATGTCCCAGTCAGTGGAAGAGCTTCTCCTCAGACTGGACCTCCTGGCCCGCCTGGTCCTCGAGAGTCAACCTCTCCATAACACAAACTTCCTCCACCTCCATTGCTACAACTACCAACCTTCCGCTGTGAGTATGGCTATCCCCCCCCCCCTTTTTTAGTCTGTACTGAGCCGTGATGCATCCGTGCATCACTGTGACTAAGCTGTAGTAGTATACTAGTATACCACTGGTGTGCTGGGTTAAAGAAATATAAAATATTAATGTGGCTATAGTATTGTGACATGAAAATTTTTGGATAAATGGAAAGGGGCAAGAAAAACAATGCACAGTGGTACCTTGATACATCAGACTAATTGGGGCAGACCCCAGTCTGGAAAATGCTTTTCTGGACTATTTCAAGAAAATCGTATGTTATTACTGTGCTTCAACAAGTAAATAACAAGGTTAGTACAAAACTACTACATCACCAGTCAAAAATATGAGAGATGGAACTCTTAGGGTTAACAGTCAGACTTAAAGCTGGTGTCGTCAGCTGTTTTCACCAAGATGATTGTTTTTGTATTGTAAAGTGTTAATGTACAGTATATCTAATGAACCATTTATTTATTTATTTTTAATGAATAAAGAGAAAACTGTACAGTACTATAAAGATAAAAATAGAGAGTGACCTGGGAGCAGCAGGGGATAAAATAATCAACTTTCCCCAAAAAAGAATCCCACACTCAACACCATGAGTCATTGCATTGAACAGTATTAAATTTCCAGTCTTTATTTACAAAGTGCAAATGTGTGATTGTCCTAGCTACCCCCTCCCTCCCATGCTTGCCACAACATGCCTTCAACACAGAGTAAATAGTACTGTAGTGTATTTATCTGCTCTGTATTATGCATCTGCATATTCCCTGGTTTATTCATTAATCAATTGTCTAAGGGTATAAGTAGCCAAATCGAGTTATCACTCAAAAGTAATAAATAATGTTAGGAAGGTATCTCCATATCAAATACTATAGAGTATGTTATATTGACCCTGTTGTAAGCTAGTTTGCTGAAAGTTCTCACAAGAATGCATCCTGAGTGAATACCTTCTGATATAATAACTTATCCTTTTATTTTCAAGTCAAATTATATATTGTATATTTGTCCTATTATTGAAGATGTTATATTTATCATGATGAATCTCACACCATAAGAGGGTGAACATACAAGAATATAATACCGAATCAATAAATAAACATGGTGAATGCAGCAACACTTGAACTCTCCCACACACACTTTTCAACCGAGGCCTAGGGGTCAGCTTGCCAGTTTGCAGCAATGCAGTTGATTGGGTGGCAGATGGACACTCAAAGAGTCACAAAATTTCTTTAGTATTTAATCTATTGTATTTATAGTCTGGTGTTATAAGGGAAAATTACTTTTCTATGTTGATCTTTGATATCTCAATTGGGAAAGAAAAATTTGCTTGTTAAATGAACTGGTAACATAAATATCATAAAGGAACACGAACATGCTGAACAAGTTCAGCTAGGTAAACTCCCCCTCACTGCATGGCGCCATGCAGGGCAGCGGAGGTTTTCTCTGAAATTTTGTAATATTTTTCGTGTTTGCTTTGTGGTATTTGTTACCAGTTTGTTTCACTAGCTAATTTTTGCTTCCCCAAGTGCAGAAATTATCAGAGGTCAACAGAAAAGTTATTTTCCCTTATAATATAAATACGATAGATTAAATACTAAAAAAGAATGCCAGCCAATTGGCTGCCTTGCTACAAATTGACCCTCAGTCTCAGTTGCAAGGTTTAAGTAAACAGATTATAGGTGTTTATAGCTTGGGATTTCAATTTATAATCTAAGATTCCATATAATAACTATTTGAGACCATTTATGCCTGTACCTAAAGACCACTGTTGCCTGAGACCAATGATACTTACAGCATTAGACCACTGTGGCTATAACTTGGGGATGAGATATAGCCTGAGAGACAGGAGTTTTTTCAAGTATTTTGCTAGCAAACGATATAGAAATACCAATTGTATCCTGATATTTTAAAAAATATAAGTTTATTTTTAGTAATAAATTTTTTAAATAAGTAGCATGATCCTATTAGCAGAGTGATTTTCAAAACTTAAAGTAATTAGCATAGAAAATTTACAGTATTTAAAAAATAATTTGCAATTCTAATTACCCTGGTTTCTTTATCAGCATTTTGAGACACACACGTGGAGATTTTTCTAAGACCCACACTATGTAGACTCGCCACCAAAGTTTAATTATCTTATTTTATAGGTGACCACAAGCCAAGAGAGTCATTCCACCGTGAAAGCTGAGTCAACATAATCACAGATGGCTGCTGCTACACTACTTGGGTGAACCCTTCACCCATGGATCGTGCAAAGTCTATGTACAAATTTGCCCTCCTTTCCCCCACCCACCCACCCCATGTTCCTTGATGTTCTAAGGACCAAGTCCCTCACTCCTCTTAAAAGTGCGATGGACGCTGCAGACTGAGGAGGTTGATAGTGAGAGACTAACAAGTTATTTGCACGAAGGTTTGTACAGCCCAGATGTTGGGAGGTCATTGCTGAAAACATGGCACTGCTTAATTTTTATTTTATTTTTTATTATTATTAATTTTTTTTTTTTGTTGTTGACTTATTTTTCCAGTCATGATAGACAAGGGGCCATATTAGCTACTACAGGCCATCTCCTGTAATAGGGCAGATAGTGTAACTCAGGTTCCAATCCTCTGTATGTATTGAAAATATTAAATCCTAAGATGAAGGAGAGATTTTAGGTCGTAGGCTTCCCTGCTCGGAAGATTAATGGGTTCAACATCGCCTGCATTGTTCTTTTCTGGGTGTAAACACACGAGTGTTACCAAGAGGCAGGAATTACTTAGTTCTTGAAATTTATTGTTTCACTATTTTACTTTTCTATAAACAACTAATTTGAGGCATGAAGCTCCAAAAAATTATCTAAGTAAGCCTGGCTGGAGGACAGACAGCTTAATCTGGAGAGACATCTTCCTCGAGTTATAAACAGGGAACCCTGCAATATCCATCATACATATATGGTGGCAGTCATAATGAAGAATAAAATTCTGTAAACTAAATTGTTTACAATTATTTCATAACTGTATATTTTTTTCACTCCAGGATAGATTGTTAGATATAAGGGAAAATTTTATAATTTGTATTTTTGTGATGTTATCAGTTTGGATGATTATTTGGTTTCTTAAATAATGTTATCAGTTTGAATGATTAGTTGGTTTCAAAAAAGGACAGAAAGCAAACTTACGAGCAGCAAGCATGGATGTTTGGATAGTCATGTTTATTCAAACCATGTCCAGGTTCTTGTGTGATTTCTTTTAAGAGATCAATACTTTCTCAAATAAATATTTCATTCGAGGACCAAAAAGCACCTTAATAGCTGTCAGGTAGAGACCTCATTGCTTGAGCGTGGTTTGTAAACATGGCTAGTGTGAATGGCGACAGGATATTATCATTGTTAAGTAATTATAAAGGGAGAGAGTTTAATATTTGAGTTTTCTCAGTATTGTTGTCTGTCGTACAATAAGTAGCACTCGACTCAGTTATTTGTTACAGATACACATTTTCAGTAAGAATGTTACTTAAAAGTTAAATAGTGCAGACAACCACAAGCAGGTGGTGCCTCATCAAGGTGACACATTTCCATGACTAACTTAATTTCAAAGCTTTTTTGCTCAGTGCCAAGTCCTGAAACTTGTAGTCATTTTATCTGGCATTAGTGAGTTGAAGCCTTAAAATCAAAGGACTTTGTGTACATAGTAATGCTAAAATAAGTCATCATTAGCATATAGTGTAAAAAGTAAAGCCATCAGGCAAATACTCAGTTCATTGTTAAACAGTTGAGCAGAAAGTAAATGCTATAAATTATAGCATCCAGAGATGGCTTTTCATCTGTTGCTCCCAAAGTTATGTTGTACTATACAACACAGACCCATATTTTAAAATATTTAACAAGGTCTTTTCATGAATCTTTTGAAATTCAAAAGTCATGTTCCTAAATGAAGTTGCACAGGGATATTGTGCAAATGTAAAGATTTTTGTAAAAATTACTAGTTACTTGGATCTTAGTTGTCAATAAAAGACACCCTGGTTGTTGCTCTCTGGTTAAACCTTATTTACTAGTGTTGTGAACAATTATGGGTCGGTATTTTAACCCTTATGCCCTGGCTGATGTAAGACCCACCAGACCCCCCTCGCGGGCATATATCGGCAAAAAATTCCAGTTGAAAACTGGTATTTTAGGCTTAAAATTAGTGCAGTTACTCCATGCATGCATGTGGCCCCCTATGTCCACGGCACCTATAACCTCATTTGTGGGGTGGTGAGGAGGAGTGAGCACCGTTTTATGTTTCACTGTCCTCACCGCTGGCCGCCTCAACAAACTTGACATCATCTGGGTTTGCTAGGAAACAGACCCAGATGATGTCTTTGTCACCTGATACTATATCAATGGCTCTCGAATCAAGCAACTCATGATGAATAGCACTACTGTATCTGTCATATTAGTTGGTGGGTAACTGAACCAAGAGACACGGGACAAAGATTATGCAAGAGTCACTTAGCTAAGTAAATAAATATCCTATACAAAGTAATCCTGCCTGGACATTAAAACTGAGTTGTGAAAATTAAGGATGTAAAGGAATGTCACCCAGGGTTGCTATAATGGGTGTAGAGGAACATCGCCCAAAGTCGCTATAGTGGACATAGAGGAACGTCACTCGGGATTTAAGGGTTAATGTGGAAAATATTGTCCAATGCCCCGCAGATAAACTCTTCAGATAAGTTTTCAATGTGCAGGTGAGCACCAACAGCCAGTGTTGTGTTGGTGGATGAGAATTATGCAAACTGAGCAATATGGTGAAAGCTTCTCTTTTTGGGGTTGCAACCACTTGTATGATATGTAAGTCCAGAAAATTTTCTTGAAAATTAAATAATATTCATTGATAAAGAGATGCTACCAGTCAAGCATTCACTGAGGATACAAATGGCAATATTTTCACTTAAGGCTTAAGATGAGGCAGGTAGGTACAGAGTGAAGCTGCACAACCCTCCGTAAATATTCTCAAAGAACAATGTATCGGCTGTTCCAGACTTGTTTATTCCTAGTCTTTTGCTGATTTTTTAATGTTACCATTTGTTTCAAGATGCCATCTGAAATTATTGCTACTCAGCTGTTCAGAAACCTTAAGTTTTCCAGTTAGATTGTAGGAAGGAAACTGAAGATATGATCTTCGACATTATTTGAAAATAAATTTTATAAAATAATTTTACTTTCCATCATACATATGTTAATACACACTGACAATGCCCACTGTAAAAGGGTAATCCATGCAGTTATATTATTCATCTTGTTAACTGCATCCTTACATATTATCGCATGCTAAAAGTCCTCTAAACTTTTCTGGGCTTCCTTTGTCTACATCCTTTAACCTTTAAAAATCATATGTATATCCTGTACAATAAATTCCTATCCTGCCACACACTACATTCTACATATCTAAGCTGTATAATTTAAAAAAAAAATACTAAATCTGTCAAAGTGCTACTGACAAACTACCTCATGCTTATACAGTACTACTATAGTTTGGGCATAAGTCGTGTGCCTCATCATACATTTCCTTTACTGCACATTGTTACTTGCAAGTTCATTTATCACGTTGACTTCACATCCTCCTAGAAATTTCTCCACTTATCCCCTCCCCCTATTCTTTTAATTATTCCCTTGTAAAATTCAGCTCAAGTAGTAAAAAAATCTATTTCTGTTTGGAATCGATTCTAATAATTTTCTATTCTTAATCATGATCACTGAGGTAACCATAAAAATTTTCATCAAGCTCTTGTCCATAAAATGCCTATGAAACAATGTCCACTCAAATAAAATTCAAAAATTCTATCATCTCTTTAATGCAGAATATATATTGAAAACAATATTTAATAAATATGCCAACAGTATTCATTTCTTCCAACTTTACATTTTCTTATAGAAATGACAAATGGATAATGAAAAATTTGCAGCTATATACACTGTTCACCCATAATCCTAACAAAGGAACGCTTCTATGGAAAATGTCATTCGAGATTGCTATAAAGTGAGTAACACTGTGGTCTAATCGTGGTCCTGTTGGTGCGCATCTGATAACTATAATTCCTGATCTAAATATACGATTGGTTTGGAAGGCATATAAAGAAAGAATCAACATTTCCCTATATTTTAGTACAATCACTGACTGAAAATGAGCTACTGTATAATGAACAAGTCCACATTAAAATTAAATGGCACAACCCATAAAATTCCTGACTGCCAATGTTTCAACAAGGAAATACTTAAGTCTGAAGCAACAGGGAGAACTTTTTTACCAAGTCAATTTCTTCCACTGTGCTGTGATTACTGAACTGCCATCATAATTTAAAAAGCAAATCTATAACATTCAAGACCTTATACAGTTGTAATGATAATAATCAATCCACCCAGATGACGATAAATTATGCATATTCAGTATGGAAAACTCTATGATCACTAGTAATACCTTTATCACAAAGTGCCGTGGGACTTCTTCATATTTACTGGAATTTAATGATCTAAAAGTCATACAGACAGTTTCTTTGAAAATTGGGAATGCAAATACATGACTTTCTAGATAAATGATAAGATACACAGTATAGTAAAAAGTCCTTAAAAAAATACAGTACTGTACTGTTAAAGTTGTCTATCAAATGATACCCCTGCATAAATTCTGCTCTTTAAATGGTTACTACAGAAGTTACTGTTCCTGAATAAAAGAAAGATTCACAGGGAACATCTAATTTACAAGAAAATAAAGACAAAAGTAAAAGCTACATTAAACTTTCTACACCAATAATAACAAGCATTCTCCTTACCAACATGTACAGTACAATATATCCAAGATTTGTTGTTAGGTCACTTGAGATGAGCCTAGAGAAAGCAGCCATTCTGGTAAGTAACTTGGGAAACGTGATCCGTGTACATCCTAACAATTGTGCACCATAATGAAGCTGCGGCCAGTTCTAGTCTATCTCATACACATTGGTTTTCAATTGCGTTTCGTGAGAGAAGGTAACGGGCGCCCCATCAGATGTGCTTACCACACCCAACACCTGCAAAAGCCATGAATATGACACTATAAATTGATCAAAGTAATTCAAACAAGTTGCAGAACAATATAACCTGAGGAAACTATACGTCAAGTATTATATCAGTGAGTGGACACAGAGATTTGCTGTTTTTAAAGCAAATTTTGGTCCTCACTTCAGGGGACAAAATATAAAGATATCAACTGGTAGAACAAACTTTACTGATGTGTGTTCCCTAACAGGTAAGGTACTGTAGTCACGAGTGTGTTCGTGGACTAAATGACCGGAAAAACACTCATATTTTCCAGACTTTCCATATGTTACCACAAATTGTGACTCATCCTGATTGTTAGTATTTACACTTAACATTCTTAACTTTAATTCCTATTTCCAAAGTTCCAAAAATATCTAAATCATTACTCTCTACATCATCTTTATTTGTCTATACCTGTACTTTGTACTCTCCACTTCATCTTCATTATCTTTACTCTCTACTTGATTCCTATTACAGTAACTTCCACTTCATCCCGACTCATTTTTTCCCTCACTTTATCTACATGTAAACCTGGCAACCATGGCAATACTGTTAACTCACCTTTCTTACTACTACATAAGTCAATCAGTTTACACTTTGGTCAAGCACTCCACCTTACCCTAGTACTCCATTGCCCCCAAATACTCATACAATTTTTTGCCTTCAAAATCATTATCCAACACAAAATAAGTAAGACCACAATTATTTTTCAATATTTTCTCTCAATAATTAACTCCTTAAAAAAATTTTTGCCTGTTTAAAACCTGATACACACAATGCTGAGGCAGATCCAGGAATATCAAGGGGGGGGTGGGGGGGACATGACAAGCACAGTGAGCCCTACCCAGCTGGGGGGGGGGTGCTGTAAGCCCCCTTCCCAGAATCTTTTTTGAAATCTGACCCTTATCATGGTTATTTTGAAGTCACGTGCATGTGATACTAAGAGATATTCTGAGGTCAATAGTAATTACAGGGGGGCCCCACAAGTTCGCAGATTTTTACTTCGCGGCTGACACCCTGGATGTACCCAAGAATGTCTGTGGGTTGCTGGCATTTTTGCGACCGGGATAGGGAGCCATTCGTTCTAGAGACAGTAATTTCATTTACCTGTATTGTAAATGTGTGTGTACACACGCAAGACACATACAAATAAATAATAATTGGGAAAATCCTCTCACAAATAATCAGAAACAAATTTATTAAAAATGTGACAGTCTACCCTCAAGTCCATGCTCTATTAGTAAAGTACAGTGTACTGTAATAGATCATGGACGTGGGGGTAGACTCATATTTTTAATAAATTTGTTTCTGATTATTTGTGAGAGGATTATTTATTTATATGTGTTTTGTGTGTGTGTGTGTGTGTGTGTCTACACACATACAATAACTACAGGTAAAAGAAATAATTGTCTTAAGGGCAAGCACAAAAAGAGAATATACATTTATTTGTACACGAGTAAAAATGTAACCCGTCAGTAAATATCATTCGCGGAGTTGGCGATTCGTTGCCATTTTGAGAACCTAACCCCCACAAATTTTGGGGCCCCTTGTACTTTTTACTATACAAAAATGCCCCTGATAATATCAATCCTACTACAGTAAACCTTTGAAGATTGATCCACAAAGCTCCATCTCCTTAAATCCTATTTATTCATTTAATTTTTCATTCAATCTAATGCAGTACCACCTGTACACTGAACCCTCATTTATTCCAAATTTCTGCTAATTCGCCAGGTGGAATATGTTTTCCAAAATTGCCTTTGCACATGCTGTTTGGCATCCCCTTGCATTCTTGTACACATTTAAGCGACTGCCAATCCTAGCAGTCGACTATTACTATGAGGAAATAAATATCCTTTTGAAATAGTAGTATGTCCTGTGGAAAATACTTGCTAAGCACCTTTATAATGAGTGCTCTTCATATATTGTTTATTATACTATCTAACATTAAGAAACACTTAACATCACAATGAACAAGAGTATACTCACCTTAAGGTCACAGAATGGTCGTTTAGAGTTGAAGCTCACACGCACTGGGAAGAAGTTATCAGGAACACCACGAGCAGTAAAGTCCATAGCTGCTGTGGGAGCAGCCTTGTCTATAACTGGAATGCGCCACACCAGAGCACAGTGGGCACGGTCATACTCGTGTTCACCCTCACATTCATTGACGATTGGTGGAGGAGCCCCAGAAGCCAAGGGGATGGTTATGGTCACCTCATTGAGTTCCATTTCTTTTTTCTCCAAGTTGTATTCTATGTTAACATCACAGCCCCCAGCACCATTCTCCTGAGGCCAACAGTTAACTGTGGGAACAATGTACAGCATAAGAAATACAAATTGATTCATGCAAAATTAAACCCAAAGGCCTTGAATTTCATAACTCAAATTTTTTTTTATTTACACCTAGTAAATAATGATTCCTGAGATCTATATGAAAAATTGTCACGCATATTCTATAGTGTCAAAATGATTGCCACTTCCAACTCTGTCATGGAATAAAATGTGATGTTAGTTTTCACATGGGATGAATTTTGAGAATGGGACTATCCCCAGAAAAATTTAATTCTCAGTAAATTCAAGCAGGTGCCAATATACCTTGTCCTCAAAACTATTAAAAAACTTCAGCTACAGCATACTGATTTTCTTTCATTCTTGCAAGCCTGATCACAGATGAATAGAAAAGTGAAAAAATTAGTTAGCTATACAGATTTCTGGCATGATAATACTAGGGTGTGATGTAAAGATTTCAAATCATGTCTGGCCTAAGTTTAAGGGATATTATTCCGACATGATGTCTGCATCATTACAAATAAATTAGATAGATCACAACTCTAGTTTTTCAACTACTGTATTGATCAGCGATCTCATTTCTTTCAAATGCAAACAAAGGCCACCAACCGATAGCAAAATGAAATGCATCTGTAATAAAAAAGAAATACCGTACCTCAAACTGTTACTAAGTTTGGAAGATGTCCACAAACATCTTTTGCAGTTGTATGGACAAATAAAGAAAGTGTGTTTACCCAACAGTGCCATCAGACACACAAAGAAACTCCCAGTATAAACTTACTGGAGAGAGGAACATGACTGTCATCTGATGTTTGAAAGCGCCACTTGAGAACACCCACATCAGTATTATGTGGGAAGGGTTTGTTGGACATCTTCATTCCAATCTGTCCACATGAGCGCCATAAATCACGGTCCACATTAGGATGTGTCTGTACCTGAACAGGTCTAGTATCTGTGTTATCAACCTGTAATAAAAGTGCAATCACCTATTACCATCAAAATTTTTCATCCGAGAAATTCTTTCATATATCTTTAACAAAAAGGTATCACATACAGGTAACATTCTGAGGGAAGAACTCCTACACCATCTACATACATCATACAACTACAGTTCTGAATATGTAAATGTTGTTAACTAAATGAAACACCAGCCTTACCTGGACCTTGATAAAGCCATGTTCAGACTCTGTAATGCGCAGCTTAAGGATGCCTTGCACTTCCATGTTCTGTAACCCTCCATCCCTTCCTGCATGCACCACTATGTCTTCTGACATCACTATGTGTATTCTGTTGGTTGCAAAAATAATTAATATATTTAACAAAGAGGACAACAGGTAAAATTAGAGCACAAAAAAAAAATTGTTTTGCAACTGCTTTAGCAATGTAATTTTTTTTTAATTAACATTAAGAAGAGAAATTCATATGAAAGGTAAATTTCTCAATAAAATAAGAAAAACAAATAATATCAGCAAGGTAACACTGGACAATACGAATTACAAGGCAGGCTGGGGTATCATTAATGGTTATTAAAAGTCATGTTGCACTGAGTTTGCAAAATTAACCCTATTTGTACGTACATGCATGCATGTGTGTTCTAAAGCTTTAAAAAATAATATAAAAATCCCTCCTTCAGATCAAATTCTAAGTTTTGGAGAAACAATTTCAAACTTCGCTTTATAATTTAGAATTTGTCAACTCTATTAACAGCTCGTAAGATCTCACTGGCGTATCATAAAGAATGACTAGAACATCCAAGTTTTTAAAATATGTTCTCTCAATACACTTGAATTTAATTTACAGCTGGTATGGGATGGTGGTGAGCATGAATATACCAATATCTTACCAAGGTATATAAAAATACATGACCATTACTCGGAGGATCTGAACAATTACTTTATACAGGTAGTGAGATATGAAAGGACAATTTTAAGTCATTTCAAACTAGTATTGTGTTTCATCATGTACTGTAAATGTTATGTGCATACTGGCTATGTAAAATACAAGAATAACAGATCAAGGCACATATTTATATTAAAAATTGCAATATTGTCAGAGAAGGCAACTTACGGTTCCATGTCTATTTGTGGAGTTGTGGATGGAGTCATCTTGGAAACAGACTCAGAGGAAGACACAACTCGCTCTCCTTCAGACTTCAATTGGTCGACAAATGAGTCTACATCTTTGGCCTTGCTACCTAGCTTCATGGCTCTGTTGGATCCAGCTGGCTTAATGGTCGACGGTCTTGTCTCCTGTGGTTCAAAAGGAATTACGTTTTAGTGAAACCTATGACCACATTAATACACTAAATGGTACATAACCTCTCTCCTCCTATTCATAATTTTTGCTCCATTCCTAATAGATATATAAAAAATATATATATTTGTTCTCAATTGATGTTTAGGGGAACCATATGAATAAAATTTTCACATTTCTTAAATCTTGTAAAAATATTCACTTCTCCCACTAAGATTCTCTTCTAAAAACAATCACATTCAGTTTTCTTACACTCAACATTGCGTTCAGTTCATTTTAGCAGGGATTGATGCAGGCTTTATTTCTGTAAGAATCTCTCAGCATTTTCTTAAATGAAAATTCAACAGTAAATATTCACCTTCTATTCAATAAAGGTGATCAAGGAATGGTCATGAGCTACTTTATTAGTTAGTAGGAGCACACTGTGTTGACTTATGCCCACCCTGGTGCTTGTTCACACACCTTGACTTACACAAAATAATCTAGGGTCATAAGAGATTTTGAACATCTAAAGATAAATTCAGAAAAAAAGTTGGAGACTCTACATTCCCCTTGTTAAAAGTTGTGGGTTGTTATGAGTGCATCAAGGGGTGTACTGAGTAGTGTGGCACACCCGGACTTTAAAAGAATTTTCTCTCAGTCAGCTTGAAAGGGCATATTAGTGATTAATGTAAATAAAATCCTACTTGAACTTTATGTCAGTGCAAGATTGATTATCAAAACTGTCAAAGTTGCCAAGGTCACACTGCACCAATAGCATGATATATATATATATATATATATATATATATATATATATATATATATATATATATATATATATATATATATATATATATATATATATATATATATATATATATATATATATATATATATATATATACACTGTATATATATATATATGAACTGCCAATTTAATGAAAATGTCCATTACTTTTAGCAATTAAGACACTTTGACCAACTTAGTTTATATCCTCAGCTGATTTCTGCTTTTGTAATTCATCCCCATTCTAAGTCACCACAAATGTGTTCTTCCAACTCAAGGTTTTCTCCTACTCTCACCACACACTATTGATTTTAACTCTCACATGTATCTTCTATATACAGTACCTGTGTGGATGTTGTGATGTTTTCTGTAGGAGCTGTGAAGACTCCTGGACCACCTCCAAACCCTCCAGTTAGGCCAAAGCCTCCAGAGTTGCCGCTTGAGTAACCTTGATTCTTGCTTCCTCGCTTAATTTCTTCATAACGTTTTCGTTGAATATCCTTCACCTTCTCCTGTAAATCAAAGAACAAAAAGTTATGTAAATTATTAGGATAACAGTGAAGGTCATGATACTTAAAAAAATTTAACCAAAATTTAATAAAAAAAATAAGATTTCTAGGTGATAAACCTTTTTAACTATGGTATATTATGAAAATACACTACCCAGTACTATATCCCATTATACTTCATTTCTAAGACAAGAATTTATCTCGATACCAATTGAAATGACCTGTCATGTTTGCCTATTCTCACATACTCTTCCCAGCACTCTCTGATGCATGGGGTGGATCAAAGAACAAAAACCCGAAGAAAGAGGGAATATAGTAAAAAATAAGTGAAAGTTCTGTAATGGGTAAAAAGCAACTGGAAAGTGCTACAGCAAAAGGTAGGAATACACTGTACCCCATATATTGTTCACTAACATCCTAAATTTTGCACATACTATACCATATGAACAAGAATTTAGCACACTTGTCTGGCTGTCCCACGAATAGTTATCTACTGGTTATAATAAATACAGTACGTATTGAAGAGTTGAAGAAGAATGTATTAAGAGTACCTTTCAATAATAATGATGTACACAGCAAAAATAATTTTCTCGGTTTACCTTCATCTTAGTACGAGCCTCTCTCTCCTGGGTTTCACGAACAGCTCTATACACCTTCTCTTCATGGGAGTCCATTTCAACAAAGGTTCGGATCTGAGCCAAGTTGACTGACTCCCGGTAACCAAGTGCCACGATTTCATCAAAGGCAAAGATGAGATGAAATGAGTTGTCAAGAATTTCACTCTCCTCCATAGTGCGACAGTATTCTGGGATCTGAAAACATTGACAATTAAACACCCAAACGCACAAATACACGTACATTGTTAACACTATGTTTTACTATTCTCTCTCAAGACATTTCCTGTTTAATGCATGGCAGCCACAAAAAGGAGAAAATTCCCTTCATTCAATGTCACTTTTGCATCAAATACTTCTGCTATAAAGTGTACAGATCATCAAAGGTAACACTACATGCTATTTCCATATTTCTGATGAGGTATACAAAAAGCTGCTGGAAAGGTCATGTCAAGAAAACTGCCTTTAAATGGCAGCAATCAACAGCGGAGGTTATTTACTGGGATGGCATTAAATTTTTGCACATATGGGGCACAGTAGGGAATCCTTACTGCTGATTAAGGACACTGGAATACTTTACTTCATTACAGTTTTAAGATAAAAAATTCCAACCTACCACACGGGAAAACAGCCGCAAGGTTTCCAGATCTTCAAGAATGTTTGATGCACGTGTTGTGATCAGCAGCATGTACAGTCGGTCCAGAGGCTGGTAAACATAGCGGACTGATTCTGTTTCTACAAAGGTGTGTTGCCGCCCACCAGTCATCAACTTGGGAAATGCGGCAAGGAGGCCCTCAATGCGTGACTTGGTCATCTCGACAAACTGGCGAGAGACCAGAGCCTTGCCACTCTTGGTGCACACTGCTGCCGCCAGTAACACCTATGACAGGGTAACATCATTTACAATTCATTACATTTTGTTTAAAGTTGCCAATTTACTGTAAATTTTGATGGAACTAACAAAACTAATTTCTCCTGGACAAACCTGACCAAGAATGCTTCCTTCTCCATTTTTTTTTCTTTATTATCCCACACAAAAATAATGTAACCCTCCAAAACAAAATAACCAGTCTGTCTGTCAACGGCTCTTGGAGAATCATTCCCTCCCAATTGATAACATGAGTATGGGTCTAAACAGTGTCTAAGCCTTACATGCATTTTGACCCAAATACAATTTTCTCAGACTTGAATTTAGGTGGGATTAATTTAAGTAATTAAGTACACTCAGAAGAACACAAAAACACCAACCAATCACCTGGGAACCAATAGTTGGCAAGTACAGAAATAAGCATTGGGAAAAATGTCATTAAAATTTTCCAAGGGTCATTCAACCACCAATTACTTGGCAATTGAACTGCCGATAATAGATTCGGAATCGGCATGCTCAGGAGTACCTACCGTATACTGAGATTTTGAACAAAATTGCATATATCGCAATTTGTCTCGCCTCTGAAAAAATCTGTAAGCAGGGTTCTTAACCTGAGAGCTGATGAGGATAAATGAACTGTTTGAGGAGAAGCAGTAGCAATTGATACACAATGAAATATGATCTCACTATCTAAGCTAACTCGGATCACCCAAAATGAACCTAACTTAAGTGCCACAAAATAGGCTTGAATGGCTTGGTAAAGGTTAAGGTTATTTTTTATTTTAGGGATATGTCATCAACTCTAAGGATGGCTGTAGTGCTGTATACTTAAAATATTAATGGCACGCTACATGAACAAACTGCTAATCAAACCAAACCAAAGTCTTAAAATTAATGTTTTTGTCAGGTTTGCTTAACTTGCATTATATGCCATCATTAATCATATTAACAACTTCTTTTCACAGAGCAGCCATACACATAATACTGTATATAAGGAAATTTATTATTACAAAGCGGTTGTACACCCGGTAAACAAAATATCTTTCAGGAGGAGTCCGATGAATTTAGAACTGAACAATCCACATGCAGGGCTACCAATGCCAGGTACAGTACAGCTCCTCCTCGACTTACGACAAGGTTAGGGACCCAAATCCAGGTCGTAAGTTGAAAATGCTTAAATAATACACAGAAAATCTAAAATGGGTGTCTCTTTTTCTTCTCAGCACCACAAAACTCTCACTTTTAAGCTTGCCAGCCATTTTAAAGTGAATTACAAACGAAAAATTTCTGTGTACTGACTTTTGGACTCGAAAATACGTAATTTGACAACATTTTGGTACGACCGAGGCAGGTCGTAAATGCGGGTGGTCGTGAGTCGAGTAAGTTGTAAGTCGGGGAGGAGCTGTATACCTCATGTACCTTTATCAAAAACCTTAATTCGTGGTGTTAATTTGGTTTGTACATGCTGGTAAGATAGTTTTTTTTTTACCGAGTGTAAATAATAGGTTTACTGGGATTCATGGATGAAATGCACCAGTGCCTGAATGCACCATCTTCCTGGACTGAATGCACCACTCCCTAGTCTGATAATCTCAATGCACCACCTAAGACAGAAAAAAATATAACAAAAGTCTCACAGACAATGACAAAGTCTTATCTGAAAATTTAAATGATACACAAAGCTATATGACTACGTACTCTTTTGTAATTGAAGAAAGGGGCAATGTTTTTTTAGTTATAAAAGAATATTTTGTAGTTTTAACAACATAAAGAGCAATATTGTATACATAGTTATGACTATTGAATGAGAACATGAAAACCAAAACTCGTTGGTTGGTCAAAACTACAAATTGACCAATGTTTGTATTTGCATAAAAATTAATCTATTCAGATTATAAAACAATAAAACTTAAAGAAGTAATTATAAGAGCAAAATATACTACAGGGTACTTGTAATATTGTGGTAGTGGTGCATTCAGGCAATGGTGCATTTAGACCAAGTACCTGTACCGTTTTCTGGTAAATTTATAATGGCTCCACTAACTTAATGTTTATTCTTTTAAGGATAATCTCTAAAACATTTATTTTAATGCAAAGAATCCAAATTCAATGCTGGATTATGGAAACATTTACTTTGGCAGCAGCAAGTACAGTTGTCCATAATTGACACTTGCCACCAAAGAACTATGTAATTATAGCAATAATCAATGGATTAGTCATGCTAAATCACACACACAGTTGGTGGTGATTTATGTAATTTACAACCAACTTGCCACTTTTAACCCTTAAATGCCAGTCATTACACATATGTCTGCTGTAGGGATGTTGGTCAAGTTCTATGGAGATTTCTTGTTCATTGTGTTCAATACTGTATGTCCAGAATATGTGGGCAGATTAGGAAATTCTTAATTGCCATCATAGGGTTAAGTACAGGGGAACCCCCAAATTCACGGGGTTAGGTTCTCAAATAGCCGCGAATCGACAAATCCGCGAATAACAATTGCGGACCGGGGGGAGGGGGGTTACATCTTTACTCGTGTACAAAGAAATGCATATTCCTTTTGTGTGTTTGCCCTTAGGACAACTTCTTTCTTTTACCTGTAGTATTGTATATATGTGTGTCTTCTTTTTTTATTATTAGGTGTGTGTGTGTGTGTGTGAGCACGTGAGGCATCTGTGAGGGAATTACTACACCACGTGAGGACACCATCTGTGACACACACACACACACACACACACACACACACATTTACAATACAGGTAAAGGAAATTACTGTCTAGAACGAATAGCCCCCCGTCCCAGCTGCAAAACTGCTGGCAGCTGCAAAACTGCTGGCAGCTGCAAAACTGCTGGCAACTTTAAAACTACCCACAGACATTCTTGGGTACATCCAGGATGTCGTCTGCGAATAGCCGAGAGCCGAGAAGAAAAAATCTGCGAAGGGCCCCCTGCAAAGGCAAAGTTGTTTTCTCTTGTGCCTCTAAATTTGTATTGTATGCATAAAAGATAACCAGTAAAATTTTGTAGCAACTCTCTCCTTAACCTTCATATTGTTCCCTTAATATTAATAGCATTCGTGTTTTTTTGTTTTTTTTTGTTTTTAGAAACTTACATATCGACAAAGTGATGGCCAAGCCTTCACCAGTATATTAACTTCCTCAAACATATACTAGCACAGTACCGCCTTCCTATTCGACCCAGTCTTGTGATGTTGATCAGACCCCAAAACAACCTGTGATCATTACTGGTTGTGAGAACAAAAACTTTCATCACATAAAACTGAGCTCTATGAATACTTATTTCCTGATTATATCCCCATTATTTTTTTTACAAGTAGACAACCAACGAAACTCGCTAATTTTTTTCTTACCAATCAATGTAATTTGAAGTTAGGTTAGGGTTTGCTCAACAAAAAATCCATGGTTGTCCACTTGTACATTTTTTTTATCCCCAAATAATTAGTTTTGTTATTACAATCGATAACATACATATACAATCAGGTATAAATATTTTTGGGCTCAATTTTATGTACGTGCTGTAGTTTGTCGGTCCGACTAATTACCCAAATGTAGCCGCCATTAAGTCAAATGATGGTCCTACATGAATAAATCGGACTGCCAATCACTTCTCGACTGGTATTTGGTGTTATAAAGTCACAAAAAATTGGTAAACTTAATTTAATCCGAGTTGTGTTAGGTTAGGTTAGGTACATGCACTCGATCTATTAACTCAGATTAAATTAAGTTTACCAATTTTTTGTGACTTTATGACACCAAATAATAATCGAGAAGTGATTGGCAGTCCGATTTATTGTGTAAAATATAAATACAAAACACCACCTCCGGTCTTGATAGTCTGTCCAGATGACCTAATCTTCTAATCAGTTCTCACAACATTACTTCTATATTGTTACTTATATTTATTAACACTGTAGGATAATTACTATTGGTAGGACTCACCATGATAATATAAGGCCGGGCTGAGCCTCTTGGGAGAAGGAAAAATAAAGTATTTGACTACACGAGAACAGAGTCGGTGACGTTGTTGTGCCCCGGGGGTTGGATCACTCCGATAATCATCAACAAGCTGACGTGTCCACTCTATTTTACCTCACATATTTTGTTATTTTGTATATTAATCTAGCTAAAATATTAAGAATAGTTCAATTCATTATTTGTGATTATAATAAATCCATCATAAGGAATTATTGTAAGGGTAATACGTAATTTTTGAGGAATATTTGTTTAGAAGTATCCGATTTTGTTTCAGCTGTCATGTCACTGTGTTCGGAAGGCTTCACACCATCTTTGGCTTAAGATTTATGCAATCCATACAGTCACGCTTAATAAGATGACGCATTTTATCATCATTAAAGTTATTCTAGCTTTAAATAACCAACCAAAATTTGGTTAAAGTCGTGAAAAAATCCATAAGTATAAAATTACATGTATATGAATACTTTAATATGATGACATCAACTGGAACATCTTAAGAGTAAGTGTGGCCCTTTTTCCCTTGAGTACACAAGGAGACACTTAAAAATTCCACCATTATTTAACTAAGAAAGTTTCACATCACTGTTAACTAGAACATTGATTAAAATATAAACTATTTGTGCATTCTATATCATAAGAGAGAAAACGTTTAGTACACATATACAGTACAGTAATTAGTTTATAACTTGGATTGGTTGATTGTTTTATATTTTTCTCTTCCAAAGCCCTTAGAACTTGTAATACAGAAAGAGGATGAATAATTTAAAACCTTCGTTTTACATTGCTAATGTAGGATTTATTCTTATTAATCACATCTGAGTTGAGTAATAATACTGTACACTGGTCTGACGGATATTTGAAATTTTATCTTTAAATATCACAACCGACCACAATTTTCAGTACCTGTACTACAAGCTGTTACAAAGCTTTAAGTCTTGCATGTTATTACAAGACACTAAGACCTGTAACTTATTACAAGGCACTAAGTATTATAGGTTGTTACAAGGTAATGTTTTAAATTATACTGTATTACAAGGCAGGGATCACCTGAAGATTAGTCCCTCAGCTCATTTCACCTGATGATCAAACACTCATGCTAACCTAACCTAAACACACACAGGTAGTTTAATCATCAAGTGAAGTAAGTTGGCAGCTAATCCTAAGGCAGTAAGTGAGTTAATACAACACTAGTATTATCTGTTATATCACAGTGAAAAACTTTTATATCATTAAATTCAACAAGTTACCAAATATGACTTAGAGGTCTGTTGAATATATGACATCTTGGTCTGATCCAGTACTGTACTCTTCTCTGGGTAAACCTACAGTATTCACACGAAATAAATAATAATTCTCTGACTCACCGAGCCTTAGTAGATTCAGTTATCTGCAATAAGCCTTCCTTCTTTAAGTGAAATTAGTACGGTAGTAATGTACAGTATAGCATTTATTAATACTTTCCCTTTGTTAAGATTTAGTCGACAGCTAAAAAGGAAATTGAATTTGAAATACGGTAGTGTATAGTAGTGTACCCATACTTTCTTACTTCACAGACTGTAGTTTAATAATCATGGATATAAATCCTCACTATTTCCTCTTTTTTATATTTTAATCCACTTAGGCCTAACACATATAAAGGCCTCTTTTCCAGTATTTCCCAGACCAAACATCACAATCTCTGTCAAATAAAGCCAAGGTCATAATCACACAAACTTAAATGAAATGACAGGTTTTTATAGTATACATTGAATTTCAAATTTTTCTTCAAATGAACCGGACTCAGTTTCATTTTCTTACTTCACCTTAGGCACCATCTTCCATTCTTATTACCATCCGTCAGTCTTAACAACACTCTTAGATTCTTTCATTAACAGGAAACTTAGCGGTACTGTATTTTCTGAAAGCATCATCAATATACCTTCACATCACTCTTATCTCACTATTCCTAATCAATGTTGCTTTATTACTATTAAAAGGGGGAGGAAGACATACATTATATCTGTTAAGAAACTGTCAATCATCTACCTAAGTACAGGATACCTTCTCATTACAGGGATTCGATTAACAAGCGACATTATACCTAACTGGGAGAGCCAACTTACTGCATCAGGTCTGTTACCACCAACTCAACCCAAAAAGTAAGTTACTTAGGAAAAAATACAGACACTACAAAATGTGAAACAAGAGTAAATTTTGAAGAAACATATAAGATACAAAAATGTCACAAGTAACTGCTTCTGTGAATTGATATACTGTACTGTTATTTTGACATTATTGTACAGTATCAGGTATCATGTATATCACAAAAAAACATCATGTGACTTTGTAAGGACGACTAAGAAAATATACGGTACATGCAGGGCTCTCAAAATAGTTCTTCTCAAGAGACACTAAGAGTAAACAGGAAGGTTTTTTTTAAAGGTTAGCTGTGGGTCTATGCTCCTTGGGCAAAGGACTACACATATCAATCAGATATTCAATGACATGTTTAGGCTGGTAAAAAAAAAAAAAAAACTGGTACAAATCAACTTAAAAAGTTCTGTATATGACATTAACTTCTTCACATTTTGTAACCTAAATGCTTATGAAGCAATTAAAAATTACATTATGGGGCTGTTATGTCTGTATTAAACATCATTATCATTTGCCAGAATATTATGTACCTTATTTAAGAAAGGGTTAAAAACATACAAACTTTAAAGAATATTTTTTTATTTCATATCATAATATGATTAACCTTGTATTGCATTAGTTTTTTGTACTCAAAACAAAAAATACAGGAATTAAATAAAAATTTAGCCATCTTTCATTTGTGTTTATACAAAATATCTCCTTAAAACAAAATAAAATAATTCTATAGTAACCTTAGATTCTTGGAGAGCTAAATGGACTTACATTATCCTTTTGACAAATTATAATAGGAATAACACAACTGAAACATCCTCACCTCATTTCAACAAAAGTAACAAGGATTGTTTTAACTCAAAATTTCTCATTGAAAATGTATACAGTCAGTCAGTGCTAGAAATGAACATTACAAAGGAGCACTGAAGGCACCAATTTGCAGCACATTGGAATACATTTCACAGCAGCTCACTAGTCTGTAAGTCTCTTTAGCTCAAATGATTTGACAGGGAATTATTACACGTGAAGCCAACATGAAAGGATATAAATCGATATTTACATACATGAGTTCTCCCACCCCACACCTAAGGACAGAAGGTCATACATAGATAGAGAGTTCTAAGCAAGTGAAGACAAAGGTGAGAGAATTACATAAAATATACAGCATACACATCAGTAAAGAAAAAGAAAATTCTGGATAACAAAAGAGAATGTCAAATTAGAAAAATGCACAATTAATACATCCTATGCCCATGAGGCACATTAAAAAATAAAAATAAAATAAACAAAATACTTAAATAATACTCAAGGTTTTGCTATCAAAATATTGTCAAATGGTTGTTTTTGCTCTTTCAAGCTTGGGGTTTCATTTTAACATCTACACCCGAGATGAATATTGTCAAAGATAGTGGCACAAGTTGTCTCCTCCACAGTCCATTCTCACATTTACTAAGTAAGAAACTTTCACATTAGTGCACCTGACAAATTTATTCTTTCAACTTCCCTTTGTTTCTAAAGCATTTCTACTCTCCCCAAAAATATGGCATTGATTCATCACACTGGTTAAGCCTGAACAAAATTACAACATTGTGGTTCATTGCAGATGTTGCAAGAGCTTGGTTTTCACTGTACAAGCTCAAAAAATAATTATAAATAAATTTAATATACAGGTGGACCTCAACATTTGTGGACTAGACATCTGCAGTTTTGACTATTCAGTGACCCAAAATGTACTGCATACCATCTAAACATCTATGGTGAGGGTTCTAATAATTCTCCGTCAGGAGCTCAAGCATGGCAAGGTGATTCTTTAGCAGACCAATAATAAACTGTAGCACTGTATATAGACAAACATAAATACTGGACTCTATTGCATGATAAACACATCCTAAGAAATGAAACACCACACAGGTGGTTTCCTAAACCTATTTACAGAAAATGGGGCAGCAAAGACTCTCACCTGTTAATGTAGTGCAGTATACAGGTGTTGTTGTCTCACCTTCAAACATATTAACTAAATTAAAAATAATATTTATATCAAATATTGTAATTACCATGGACATAACTACACATACATAGTACAGGTTGACAATCCCTTATCCGAAATCCTTGGGGCCATATGTGTTTTGGATTTCGGAATTTTTGACAATTTCAGAATGGTTAGGTTAGTTTTTTTTCGGTTTTCAGAATTTTGGATAGGGGTTTTCAACCTGTATACATCTCAGGCCCCAAAACATTATACTGTACTGTATTGTATTGTACAGTACAGTACTGCCTTTGTTTGACACTCAAGCAAGCATGTTCATATCTTGTGTTTGTTCACAGTAGTGATTGACCTTTCTAATCTTGGTGAATCACCTCCCTATCAAGGCCTTAATCATGCCCCTAAAGTATTAAATGAGTGTGCAAAGTAATTATCAAATAAAAAGAAAAATGTGATGCCACTAAAAGAATACTGTATTACAATATCAATTATCAGATATATTAAAATTATCTTCATCAAAGCTTACCCTCATGTGGTAAGTACACTACTGTATAGATTATAGAATTATTTAAAATTTTCTCTAAAGTTAATTGTACAGTGTACACTAAAGCATACCTTTTTACTCTCTTTTATTGTACTTATAATTTATAGATATTTTATTTTTCTCTACTTCACCAATGGTAAGGTCCTTAACCCTATTTCCCCCATAAGGTTCAAGTAACAACATCCGTGTTTTTGACATTCAAGGCACTTTCCAGGATCAAAACCCTCACAAACATTGAGGTCCACTTGTAGTATGATCACTCCCACTTTTTCTTTTAAATTTCCAACAAAAGTGTTGGAAGCTTAGATTTTTTGTGCCCCACTGTTGCTTTGTAAGGATGTTGGTATGTTGAGGAAAAATCTGCTATACACTTCACCCTTCTGGGAATGGAAAATGCTTCCTTAATGATCACTGGCAACATTTAGCATGCAACCCATTGAGTTCAAAAAATTAATCTTCATGAGCTATAAAATCAGATTAATATAAATATATTTTCCTCACTGATTAAGACATAGAACTTCAAATGCAGTTGTATTTAAGATTTGTACAGTTTGTAAATTCCCCAAATTATTTGTCACATGTAAGTGTAATTAAATGTCAACAGTATCTTCAGCACACATCCTGCTCTCTTTTATAGATAGTGGGTTGACATCTGTGATTAAGTCCAACACTGGTGACACGCAGCTGCTTCCACGGAAACATGTTTATTTTCATCGCTATAAAAAGAGAAAAAGATTATATATATATATATATATATATATATATATATATATATATATAGGAATATATAGTAGAACCTCTATACAGGGGGCCCCCGACTTACAAACGGGGTTAAACTAGAAATTTACAGTATTTTATTTTCCTGATTAATTATTTTTTACTTTTATTTACTGTATATAGTCATTCTACTTTTTCCTTTTTTTAAATTAAGTGATTTTAGATGTATATAAGGACTTAGGCTATGATATAGTGGGATTTTAAACATTGTTGTGTAAGTACGGTATGCACACAGCATGTGTTCCGACTTCTGTACAAATCCGACTTAAGAACGTCCTCAGGAACAGAGCCCGTTCATATCCCGGGGACCTCCTGTACACCAAACTTCACGCCTTGCAAGCCTGTACCACATATTTTATTTTTTTAAATCCTGTGTACAGTAGAACCTCGATAAATCGGACTATTTGGGGCAGACTCCCAGACCGAAAAATGCAAGTCCAAGAAAAGCAAATATGGGGGGGGGGGGAATAACACTGTTATCTGAGCTGTTTTCAAGAAAATCAGTTATGTTATTACTGCACTTCAACAACTAAGGCCTTTAAGTGCATAACAAGGTTATTAAAATAATATATACATCAACAATAAAAAAGTATGAAATGACTCTGGGTTGAAAATCAGATACACCCTCAGTTCTCGCGCTGATGCTCTAGTGAACGGACATACTGTGACACGATCTCTTCTACCACGTGTATCAACCATTGCCATTATGTCCAAGAGGCCAGCTACTACATCATTAACTACCCCCACAGGCCAAGAAATCAAGGCAAGCAATTACACTGGAGCAGAAAATCAAGGTGCTGGAAGCCCTGCAGCGTGGAAATGGTGCTTCAAGTGTGGGACGTCAATTTGGACTGTCGGAGAGCTCTGTCTACACTTTAAAACTCAATGAGAAGAAAATTAGAGTAGCCTATGCTTCACCAGATGTTGCCAAGGGTAAACTCCACCTGAAGAGTGCTACGTATGGGGAGATGGAAGAAGCACTTAAGTTATGGGTAGAAGACATGTAGCGCCGAAAACTTTCTCTCACTGGCCCCATGCTGCAAAACCAAGCCTACAAAATACAGTCTTGGATACTTGAAAAGGAAGGGAAGTCCATCAAAGACAGTAAGTTCACAGCAAGTACAGGCTGGCTGTACAAATTTATCAAAAGGAAGGGTCTACGGAACGTGAAGCTTCAAGGTGAACTGCATCTGCTGACGCGGAGGCGGCTGAGGACATGAAGAAAGTTATGAAGGATATAGTGTTAGAAAATGATTATTCTCCTTGCCAAGTGTGGAATTGTGATGAAACTGAATTGTATTGGAAAAGAATGCCCAAGAAGACCTATCTAATGAAGAGTGAAGTAAAATCACCACGGTTTAAGGTCAGCAAGGACAGACTGATGATTTTCCTCGTGGCGAACGCATCAGGCACCGCACGAATGAAGCCACTCGTCATCCACCACTCAGCTAGACCTCGTGCCTTGAAAAATGTGCACATCCCGAAACTTCCTGTAATTTGGCGATAAAACAAGAAGGCGTGGATGACTTCTGATATTTTCTCATGGACAACGCATCTAGCCACTCCAAACACCTGTGCAGTATGAATAATGATGTAAACTTGACCTTCTTCCCTCCGAACGTGACTTCACTTATTCAGCCACTAGATAAAGGTGCTATTGCCTTGTTCAAGAGATATTATCTCAAGACTACCATGAAGCAAATGGCTGAAGCTATGAACAAGGACAACAATATGACTGAAGCAACATTTTGGAAGAGCTACACCATCAAAGATGCCATAACTAACATCACACTTGCGTGGAAAAGTGTGCCAGAAACTGCACTAAATGGAGTGTGGCGTAATCTGTGGCCTGAGGTAGTCCACGATTTCAAGAGCTTTAATGAAGGCAAGGACGTGAATGACAATATGAAGCTCATTAAGGAAGTGAGAGGTGACTCAGGATTTCAATAAATCCAAGAGGAGGATGTGACTGAACTGCTTGTTAGCATGGAGGATCCTCTCACTTCTGAAGAAGTCTTGGAGATGGTGGAGATGGCGAAAAAAACAAGAGGAAGAAGAGGAAGCGACAGATAAGCCCCCAAACAGTGGGGAAGGAACTGACAATTCCTAAGCTGAGGGAGTTCATGCAGCATGTCACTTCTGCCACCCAGTCTGCACTGCAACATGACCCTGATATGGAACGCAGTATGCAAGTGGTGGAGGCGTTGAATCGGGCTGCATCTACGTACTCTCAGCTGCTAGATCAACTGATTATGGCCCAGCAACAGAAGAAAATCACCTCATTCTTCCGTCCATTATCCTCATCAGGAGAGTTTGTTATGAAACCGAGTGTTTATTGCTCGGAAAAATAGACATTAAATTTTGGGTATACGATATGTAATAATTATGTGGTAGAAATTCAATAATTTAATGAATGTTTTCCATTGCTTCAGCTCCTGAGGTAGCTGGCCCATCTACGTCTGGGCAGACACAGCCGTCATCCAGTACTTCCTGCGTGTCAGATGTGTTAACAGCCACACCACTACACAGTGATGTGGATGATGAGATGGTCGAGTTGGGCTCTGCATCTTCAGAGGATGAATTGCCGAACTAAAGGTGATTGAAAATATATTTTTTTATAGCATAAAGTAATTAAAAAATAAGTTGAGAGGAAAGTGAGTCAGACGAGAGGTGGGTGGAGCGCAGCACCAGCGCCACCACCCTCCCCCATCAGCTGATCGCTAGTAAATAGACCATTTCGCATCCAGTAATTTTAGCGGTGTTGATTCATGAGTTTGTTTCAGCATAATACTACAGCTTGTACAAAACAATGTTTTGTTTATTCTAGGAGATGGGCTGAGGTGCATCTGGGTGTATACTCTCAGTCGTGGAGGGCCAGTGACCCAAGGCAGCAGACGGTACTATCAGTACCATCCAGCTCTCGACTCTACTGCAGTGAGTGCTTGCTGCATATATATCATTACATCATATTTTTCTCATATTTACTAGTTAATAAAAGTCTTTGTTAGTACTTTGTGTTTCTCTCAATTAACAAACTAAATTATTCCATTGAAACAACACTTCGATTTAGCGCAAATTCGGTTTAAAGTGACTTTTCTCGGAACATATCTCGTGTTAAATCGACGTTCTACTGTAATAACAATTTGGACACAATATGAATTCTTATGGTCATTCATCAATGTTTAAGAGGAATCAGAAAAAGAAAGATAATGATTTGTTTCCACAATATATAACCTGTGGAAACATTTAAATACACACTCAAAAGACACATTGTCAATGATAAACACAAGAAATAACAATAGTGTGGGTCATGCCTAGACCCCTCTGAGAGCTGAGGGGTAAAACACATTACATATACTTAATTTACGCAACAATACTGTACTAATAATTATATAAAAAAAAGAAAGGAAACTTATGAGCACAAAATCAAGTAAACTTCTACATCTAAAGCATAAGACTTTACCTGAGCACCAAAAGGCCCAACTGGGTCCTCACTTCTCTGCACTGGGTAGTTTTCCAAGTCCAGCGTCAACACTTTACTGATTAGACATTCACCCGGCTGCAAAGTAATATATTTAGTCAAAGTATGCAAGACACTTAAATATTTATTTGTATGTGTTTTGTCTGTCTACACACAAAAAACATACATATATACAATACAATACTGTACATACATACAATCATTAAGAAATGCATTAAAAATGTTGAGTCTACCTTCAAGTCTACGTGCTTTATTAACAACAAAGCACGGAATGGACTTGAGGGTAGACTCAACATTTTTAATACATTTCTTTCTGATTGTATATATGTACAGTATTGTATTATATATATGTATGTATCCACACACACAAAACATATAGTAAACAATAATGGGAAAATCCTCTCACAAATAATCAGAAACAAATGCATGTAAATAATGTTGAGTCTACCCTCAAGTCCACTCCGTCCTATGTTGTTAATAAAGCACAGAGTAGACTCAACATTTTTATATACAGAGTACCTCTCAAAAAACACTTCACAAACAAGACACGAATCAATTGAACAGATGATGTCGAATGTGAACTGTAAACATTGCAGTGATGTTTTCACCAAGCCATATGACTTGAATTATTACCGATTCAGTGTAAACAAATTTATCTACACTTCATTTATATAAAGGTAAGCTATTAGGCTAATCGAGTTTCTATCAAGTAAAAACAAATAAAATACTGAATACAGTATATATTGTACTGTACTGGAAGTTAAAAAAATTTGGTAGTGAAACATTCAATTTAGTAATGAATCTTGTGGGATCTGGTAATAATAGGAAAATCAGACATGGTAACCCAACAATCCTCAGTCTTTGTTCAGTCTGCATACGCATTACACGTTATCGCCAACTGTGATTTACTCAATATTTTTCTCTCAAACATCTTTATAAGTTTATTTATATTTCTTATGGTTAGAAATATTTTTATATAAGAGTTTTATCACTAAAAGGTTTTATGCGAGACACTCCACTAATTTCACAATTTTTCCTCTTCACGGCTACAGTTTTCTCTCTCGGCAACGTAGACTTAACACACCATAACAAGTAATTTTCCCCTTTTCATGTTTTTTTATTCTATTACTGAATTATTTTATCAAACTAAAACAGTTTTTATAAAAGAAAACAAAACTAACACTAATATAACAAATTATAATGCAAAATGTCAATGTTGGTGTTTTTGAACCTACTACCGCCTAACCCATAATTCAAATTGAATCAATTGTCATTATAAAGTGGTGTTCTTCAGGAACACAACTACTGCATTATTGGAGAGCTGAATGTAGCTGTAAAATCCTGCACAGCATGGGGAAGATGTACAATAATCCAATTAGTGTTTACTTAATAAGTACGTACAACATTAGAAATTGTGAAAACACGTACTAAACCCCACCAGGAAGAGATCTGTACACTTAATGCTCACTCATGATGTCGTGATGGGCAGTGCCAGAAGCAAAGGTAGTGGTATATCTTGAATATATGTATAGCATGTATGTATATAATGTACTGTAATTCAAGCCGGATAACTATATACTGTACTGTAATTCAAGCCGGATAACTATATACTGTGCTGTAATTCAAGCCGGATAACTTTATACTGTACTGTAATTCAAGCCGGATAACTATATACTGTACTGTAATTCAAGCCAGATGACTATATACATGTACTGTACAGTATTTCATATTAAATCTCAATTTTTACAAAGTACAGTAAGGAGTATGTAACAAACAAGTGGAAACCATAAAAACAAATTATATTTAACTACTGCCATCAGCAGCAATGTATCAACAAATACTGTATGACAGTTTTGAAAACAATCTTGCAAGGTATTCACTGTTCTAAGCAGTAACATATAAAATGTGCTTTTTTGTAACAAAATTTCCAAGGTATTTTTAAAAAAACAATATAAAATACTTTATAATTTCACCTGAAAATGCATCATCGTGTAACACATACATGTACTATATTTCACACATTTATTTTCAAATTTTATTATTTCAAGTAAACTCACCTCTAATATATGATGAGATGTTAGTACTTCAAGGAAACTAAAGAATGTTTATTTATTAACACTAGAAATCGTTAAAATGGCAGACAATCCAGTGTTGGGAAGATACCTTTACAGATGACTCTCATTCATGGTGCATGGCTGAGGATGATGCCAGAGTGGTAGTGGGTTCCAAAGGGTGTATGATATGACAAACTGTACTGTATTCAAGATCATAATTAAATAGGTTGTATTAAGGTGATTACAAATATTCATAAATAATTAATATGTGACAAAGAAGTGGAAACTTGATTTTTTTTTATTAATATTGGAGTCTCATCTGCTTTAGTGTTTACATTCCTAAAGCACTATAACAAGTGTGATGTTGTAAGTGAGTGAAACATGGGCAGTGAAAGGATGACATGTAGGCTTGACCAAGGTGAAATGAGAATAAGGAGATAGACGCATATTGTAACATTGAAATAATAGGAGAGGGCAGTTGGGAATTGACAGTATTGGCTAGATTTTGCTTAGAGGCAGGTTAAGATAGCTGAGGTAAGTGGAGAGAATTGAAAGCGAACCTAATGAAGTGCAAAAGACTATGTAGCATGGAGAGTTTTCCTCGGGTAATCATGACTAACCTATGTAAGCATGAAAAATGGCCATAAATGGTGATGATGATGATTATTCACTTACATCAGGGCAAATTCCAACAAGGGCATCAGCATTCTGATAAAATTCTTCTTTAAGCGAGATGACGATGGTCTGTAAATGAGATTTCATCTCTACTATATAGGATGCCACCTTGCCAATGTTGGTGTTGTCCAAGGCTGCATCAATCTCATCCAGGACAAAGAATGGAGCAGGTTGATAACTGTCAATGAGATAATTACAATATATGTAAGATAGCTTGCAATGGGAGATGAAAATATACCAATCTAAACCACAAACTAAAATATTTTGTTTCTAAATATTCCACCTGATTTCAGAGGTGATTGGTACAAAATAAATGACAAAGCAAAGAGATAACTCTTACCTATGAATACCAAAGAGGAGCGCTAGCGCAGCGATGGTCTTCTCTCCACCCGACAAATTAGACATGGGCTGGAATCTCTTGCCAGGGGCAACACAGTTATAGTTGATGCCATCAAGATATGGTTCCTCTGGATTTTCTGGTCCCAAAAAGGCTTGAGCAGAGGGATTCTTGGCAAGTGCCTAAATAGGAGATTATTAAAATTGCTCAGAAGAGAATTACAGTACTACATAGAGAGAGAGAGATCAAGCTAGGTAATGTCAGGCGATCTCGGTGGGGTTGTGTCAAATCCAAAATGTACTACACAAAGGTGCGGGACAGTTTTCTTTTAGATTAAAACTTCATGAAAACATACAAATGGTCCTTTTTCATTACGGTAATCACAACTACACAAAATAAAAACCGTTCTCCGAACCCACCTTGTAAATGCCATCAATTTCATTTGACACATGTTCAAAGAAAGCCATGAAGCGGTCATAGCGGTCCTTCTTGGCCCTCTCAAATGCCTGTTTGGCCTTCCTGGCACGCTTGCGAGCACTATCAAACTCAGTGTTTGTCTCTTGGAGCTTCTCTCTTGCTAGATCGAGCTTTTGCATCGCCTTCATATTAGGTGCCTGAAGAAGAGATCATCAACCCTATCACAATGTTATACTCAATCTAGTCATCTGTTTACCTACCAACCCATCTATACTTCATTTATAATTTCAAACACTATAAAGCCGACTCGTTTCATTACAGTGAGTTCTGCTATAACGCGTGTTTTGATAACGCGAATTTGCTCTAACGCGATTTATGAATTAGGAACGATATTTGTATAACGCGAACGCTTATTTGCTGTAACGCGATTTTTGCTTACTATTTCTCCAATTTTGTGGTATTAACTGTGAATATGGTAAAGAAGAATATCTCCAAGAAGCGTTCTGGTGATAGAATTCCCGGTGATGATCGTAAAAGAAAGGATATAACACTTGAAGAGAAGCTCGATGTTATCAACCTCAAAATCACCCTTCTCCCCCATCAAGTTACATTCATATTTTTTAAAGGTAAAGTATTACATTTACTGTATGATTTCATTATTAGATATGAATGTAACATTTATTTAGACTGTGCTATCCTTTGTGTTAGGCGAACTACTAAATTTTTTCGATTTCGAGTAATCTGCACCTAACCCTATTTTCTCCATAAGCCCTGTTATTTCTATTACGCGATTTTCTATAACACGATATTTTACAAGAACACAATTATTGTGTTATAGCAGAACTACCTGTACAGGAATTTGAACAATTCTTATTAATAAAAAGTTCTACCTCTCAATAACCAACTGGCTGCTTCCCATTACACTTGTCCTTTACGACCTAAGTTGACTCCCTTTTATATATAGCTGGTAAACTACGTCACTAACATCTTATACAAAAATAGATCTTATACCTTTATATCAATACAGTATTCATTACCTGAATGCGCTGTATGGTGTTCATGAGCTCATTAATGTGTTTTTGCATGCGCTTCTCAGCCTTATGCACATCATCCGAGTCATCCAACTCCTTGTGGGAATCTGACAGGCAAGAGTAGTCCAACACAATCCTTGACTCCTTCTCATACATGATCTGAAAGTATTGGATGCCTTTGAATTCACCATTATTAATACATATTACCGGTAAATATTCAATAATGAAAAGATACACGTGGGCTCGGCAGTTTCTGTTTGAAGAATAAACTGTTCTAGTGGATGAGTCAGAAAAAAAGAGGAAATATTACTGAATAAGTTTGGAAGGGTGTGGAGTAAAGAAAGTTGAGATTGAATGTAAACAAAAGAAAAGTGGTGAAAATAAGAGAAAAGAAGGGAGAAATATAGGATAGCCAGAAAGAAGATTAAAAGAAGGAAGTAGAGCATACATCAGATATCTTAAGAGTGGATATGTCAACAAATGAAACAATGAACAGAACCACAAATAAGCACAAAGAAAGTAATAGGTGCTCTGAGATATGATTGGAAAAAGTGACAATGATATCCAAAAAGGTAAAGATGGGGACTTACTGGGGTACTGTTGAGCTCCTGGTAACTTTATTATAAGGATGCGATGCAAAAATTCTGGATACAAGAGGAAAGAGAAAATGAAAAAGAAAAAAAAATGGTAGCATTATACATTATAGAACTGAAAGTGATGGACAATGTCACCCGAGATGTTAAGAGTAACAGCGTTGCTGGCAATGTTACCAAGTTAGACTCATCACTATAGTCAAATCCCCCAGGCACTCTTGCTGCCAGACCGAGCTGCTCTGCTTTGGTTTCAGGGGGTCCCCGACTTACGAACGTCCACCGATAAGAACGGGGTTAAACTTGAAATTTACAGTATTTTATTTACCTGATGAATTATTTTTTACTTTCATTTACTGTATTTTGTCAATGTCTTAAATTAAGTGATTTTAGATGTATATAAGGACTTAGGCTATGATATAGTGGTATTTTAAACATTGTTCTGTAAGTACGGTATGCACATAGCATGTGTTCCAACTTCCGTACAAATCCGACTTAAAAATGTCCTTAGGAACGGAACCCATTTGTAACCTGGGGACCTACTGTATTTTTAAACTCAAAATTTCAGGCAGAAAACTCGATTTTTTTTCACTTTTGTTTTTACTCAGTTACATGCACACACAATCCTTCATAAAGAGTAATTGAAATTACTATCATAAGGTCAAACACATTTCTTTGTGTGAGAGAGTTAGCTCACTCAGTGGAGTGTGGGAGCCCCATTGCTAAGGGTCAGCAGAGTCAGCATCGCCATGCCAAGCTTTGAGGCCATGTAGGCAACATCTTTTGCAAATGGCGGTGGTATTAAAATTTAGTTTAGGTTTTCCTTAATGGTTTTAGCTGCATACAATATTTTCATCCAAATAGTATCTTATTATTGTTGAGGAAGTGAACCCTATTTTTATCATTTGTTCTATTATTCAAGATATGAAAATTCACCGAACAAATGGTTTTCCAGGAACTAAACCCATTCTTTAAACGAGAGATAACTGCACTGTATAAGCAAAGGGATAATGTGTTTGATAATTATACAGTATTGTTTTATTTCTTTTGTAACATGGTAAAAATAAAGCCTACGTGCAACATTCATATTCCGAACCATTATTTAAGGATTACCTTTTCATTCTTAATCTTTTGAAATTCAGTTGCAGCAACATTTGTTATCGTACAGTATTACCTTAAGGTGACGACCAGTTGTTCCGCCGAAACTGGTTTACTGAAATTAGTTCTTTGCTTCTGTAACTGATCTCTGCACAACTTCAGCAGGTGATGGAATGTCTTTGGTTTCATTTGCACATACTGTACCTAACACATTTCATTTCACCATTAATTATTTGTGGGAACAGGTGATGGTATTTTCCCTTTAATGTACAGAGACAATTAATGGGATGCACCAAATATACTGTAGTATCTACAAGTTGTATTTATCAATTTCCTCCTGTGCAGCCAAAGCAATACAAGCTTCCCACCTTCATTGTCAGTGTGATGTAAGAATGCATTTTCTGTAGGAATAATTGCACCAGAAACTTTGCGTTACATAACGTCTGTCTCTGGACAATTTTAATCAGAATATGCCTGATTCCGGCCTCATTGAGAATGTGCCCTAAGGGTGTTGCTGAGAAAAGAAGGCTGTCCTTCAAACAGGATTTGAAGAGACTGGGGTTTAAGGGATCTCTAACTTACTGTACATACTATGCATCCTTAATAAAATGGTAAAAACAATACAGTAGTGACTATGTGATGAAATTACTGTACAGTAAACCCTCGAAGATCCAGACCCGGGAAATCTGGATTTTGGAAGATCTGGACAAAAAATTTGGGGGTTCTGGGCTAAGAAGCCTCCTTGAAGTTTCCCTAAGAAGCATTTCCAAACCAGAGCAAAGAACATTTTAGGCCCGTGGGCGCTACTTGACCCATCAGTTGCTTGGACACAGGTGCCCTAGGAGGTGGGAAACAAACAGTTGACAAATGTGGTTTGTGGGAATATTATTTCACCCACTTTAGTAAGGATATAATGTTTCTAGTTATGTTATCATAGGTAAATGCAAGGTTTAATACGGTAATTTGTTTATCACTACATTAGTACTGTATTTTTGGTGTTTCTTATATAATTTATTATTCGCCGGAATATCCGGACAATCGGCTTTTCCGGGCAGGTGGTCTCCCCTTTTAATCCGGATCTTCTAGGGTTCACTGTATTACAATTTTTTTTTTAATTAAATAAAAGCAGGTTGGTAAATTTTCTTTTATATCATCACAAATAAACTTTTCATAGCTAGAAAATCATAAAGACCCATATATAAGGTGAATCAGTTGGTTTAGCTAGCACCCACTCCCTAAGGAACACTGAAATACATTAAGTGCAATATTATATTCGTATGACAGGTTGAGCTAGTGGTAGTAATGGAGACCACTGACTGACCTGAGTGTTCATCCCAGAGGAATACTCCAAGGTGGATTCTCCAGATTCTCGTCCTTCGTTCTCTATATCCTCCATGTTGCCTCGGGTCATGGGGACCAGAATGTCATCCATTTTACATTGCTTCAGGATGGAGTGTCTGCATACACGAAAGGTATCATAATAGTGAAGATGGGAGACCCACTGTAAGTTACATTAGTTTTCTTTCCAACTGTGAAACTGATAAGGATGAATACAGTAGTTATACCTTTGAACTGTGTTCTGTGCAACCTACATAAGTTATTTATTGATTCTTGTTGTTGTTATTGTTGTAACCACATTTTTAACTTGGATGAAAATGTGATGGGACAAAACCTACTGAAAGACTGTCTGTGGTGGTTAAGTGTTGAGCATACAGTGAGTAGTTGGAATGAAGAATGTAGGGCAATATTATATGTACACTTTGGAAGAGTTTGATGTTGTACTAATAATGATTGACGAATGGGTAGTGTCACCAACAAAGTCTGGCAAGATGTACTCTCGTTTCTCTGGGAAGGACAATTTCTATTTCTAAAATACTGTATGTGTTTCTAGTGGAGATGTGTTCATTACAAGGTTTTGTTGGTAGGTGAAGAATGATGGTTGTGTTGAAGGGTTTAGGTGTAGTATTCTCTTACACTGCAGTATTTTCATTTCTTGGTTTTGTGGTCAAGTTTTTCCTGGTTTGCTGTGTCTGATTCTTTATAGAACTGCATATGTGACCAATGTTAGCTTATAGTATAAATTAAAATATGTTGATACTTCAAACAAAAGCGTGGTTTTTGAGAGAAGTATTTCTATCCTAGATAATGGTTCAATCAGAAGAAGCGGTATCTGGAGGAGGAAGGTTAGGGAAATTTTAGCCCTCCAATTAAGGGTTAGGACCAAAATGGCTTTTCTCAACTTTCATAAAATATCTTTCGGGTTATAATGGAAAACAAAAAGCATGGTGCATCCCATACTCTTCATGAATATTGTCTATGGTTAATATTCTGAGAGTCAGTCACAGAATTTTTATATAACACATGAATACTGTATTATGATGTAAGGTATCAAGAGTACAGTATATGGTAATGCTTTTTAATAACTACAAAATCCTCAGAGTCTACAAAGCTGATCATATCACAGCTATCCCTAACCTTCCAACGCTATTCTGGAATAACTTAGTACTATACCAGCATAGATGTCAGGAAGGGGTTATCCTTGAAAACTTTTTTTTTACCTTTCTCCTTTCTTCTGTTCCATTTTGTGCTCACTGGAATTGATCTGCTTTTGTATACTTTGAATGTCTTTGGCAATGGCCCCAACTTCTCGACGTGCCTTGCCAATCTCATCATCCATTTCATCACATTCCGATTTCTTCGCCAATTTCTCGGACCGTTTTTTCTCCAGATCTCGCATGGATTTATCGATCTCTCCCATCTGTTACAATAAAATAACATCACAAGAACATACAGCCATCTGTGTATCCCAAACTCTAAAAATAAAACAAATACTATAGTGGCCTTTTAGTTAATGCCACTGTTTTAACCCCTAGCTTAAGTTTTTTATATACTTTTATACAGGCAATTTAAAGTTTTTTGAGTCAAGCCCTGGCTAAAACAGCTCAATTGGTCACATAGATCCTTCTACTATATCCTCAACAGACTTGGTTTAGAAAGGGATAAAAAGAAAGGTGTTAAGGCCACATATCAATTGCAACAAAACCATTCAAAAGATAAGTATAAAACAACCTCTGCTTTCAAACAAAACACTTCAAGTTTAGTTTTATAATAATATTAAGACATTCACCATACTCCATAAAATAATTTATTAGTGTCATGAAGGGAAACAACCTGGTACATTAAAAGATGAAGTTGTGAAATTTAACATGAAAGTAGAGGAATGGGGAAATATTGATAGCTAATATAATATTAACCCACTGTACCTGCTTTTGTTCTGCCTGTTTGGCTTGTTCGAGAGCATCCTCATCATCCTGCACGGCACGCTCCCACCTTGCTACATTACTCTGAGTGTCTCTAGATTTCTCAAATTCCAACTGGTTCAAAATACGATTTTTCTGCTTTTCAAATTCTAAGCGACGGTTGGCACGGTCAGTTTGTGCTTGCAGCTCTCGTTCTTCATACTGACGAATGTTGGTGACGCCAATAGACTTGCAGAAGTCAGAAAAGACCACGTCTTCCACAGTGTTCATCTTTTCCTTAACGTCACTCATGAGGGCTTCACGCTCCGACATAGTTTTCTCTATATCATGTAGCTGTGGTTCAAAGGTATTCAATTCCTCTTTCAGTTTGTCCAGCTCTTTCTGCAGTTGTGCAATCTGCTTTTCTGTGGTTTCTTTATCTGTTCTTGAATACTTGAGCCTAGTCTCAATGCCACGAACCTGTGACTCAACCGTGTTCAGCTCAGACTCCTTACGTGACTTCTTCATGGCTTCTCGTAGTTCTTCTGACAACTTCTCCTTGGATGACTTCAGGTTAGACAAGTGCTTTTCATCCCATCTCTTGGCCTTCCTCGCCAAGTCCAAACTACCTCCTGAGATTATGCCAGACTTGGAGAAGAACGTACCATCCAATGCCACGGCGTCATACCTGTGCCCATCCTCCATCTCATATGCCACCTTAGAGGCATCCTCAGGTGTCTCACACACCAATGCATTATTTGTGGCAAACAACACTGCTCGCTTGATCTCTGGTGGATCATATTGTAGAACATCATAGAGGAGTTTGACATTTCTTGGGTCCTTAATGTTCCTGAGTCTCTCCTTGAGAGGTTTGGCTTGAATGTAATCAAGGGGGAGGAATGTCTCAGGGTCCAGCATCTGGTCTTTGAGGTATTGCACGCACTGACGTGCGGTCTTCTCAGTGTCTACCACTATGGCTTCCATGTACTTGCCCAGGACCTTTGTGATAGCAACATTATACCTGCCATACAAAAATACAATATAATATTAATGCTGGGTTTACATTAACTTTTAACTCACTCACCTAGCCAAGCAAGAAAATTTTAAAAATATAGAGAACGTACTATATTAGCCTATAGTTTTGATTCTGCAAATATATTTTCCTTAATGCAATACTGCATGTGAAATACATCAATAGTGAAAACAATTTTATAGTTTAGTCTATACAGGTATCCCTCATTTAACAATGGGGATGGGTTACCGTATTTATCGCTATACACGGGATGACACTCGGGAAAATAGGAACATTATCTAGGATTTAAATGAATTCTATTTTCTCAGTACTTTATGTTCAGTAAAATAACTTCTCAGTTATAAAAACAAATATATATTAATACCAACAATCATCACCAATCACTGACACGGTAATTAATTCATCATGAATGCACACAGCGAGTAAGAGATTAGGTCTTCCTCAAGATAACACGGTGATTTTAGCTTAACAATAAACCTAAGAAATTATATGCTCTCATATTTTCAACTTAATACAGTGGTCCCTCGGTCAACGAGCACAAAAAGTTCGAGCAAGTTGCTCGTTAACCGAAAAACTCATTAACCGAAACCATTGTTTCAATGGGTTTTTGGGTAATTGGTTCCAGCTCACCGAAAATTGCCTAAATTCAACAAAAATGGGAGAAAAGTACACTTACTTTGAGGTGTGTATGTAGAAGGCTCCTGGATGATGATGATGATGATGGGAATTAGAATGGGGGTGGAGGAGAAGGAAGAAGAGAAGGCATTGGGGTGGAAGAGAAGTCACCCCATGGCACCTTTTCACCCATAAAATTTTAGTTCTCTTGGTGTATTTCAAGATTATTTTCTTTAAATCAACACTGCACTGCATTATATATTGTCAATATGTAAAATATATTTCAAAATGACCAATTATTTGCTTGGAAACACAGAAAAAAGCATTTAGTTGAAGAGAGTCTCAAGCAAGATATTACCTCCACTGAAAACAGAGAGAGACTAACGCCTGTCTGGTGTGTTAACAGGCTGGATGGCACGCCAGAAACTAGCTTCTTTACCTTCAATTATGTTCAATAATTGTTAAAATGGCTAAAAAAGTTAATATTAAACTTTTAAAATTATTGAATAGTATAAACTTCTTGATATTTACTAAAATAGTAAGGAATTTAAGCCCTAAAACCGATTACTGCATTGGCGGACTAATACTACAGCTGGTGGACCGCCAAATGCAAGCGAAAACATGTTGAAGTCAGCTCGTAAAAAACTCGTTAATCGAGGGATTGCTTGTTAACCGAAGTTAAGAATCTTATGGAAGGTAAATCGTTAACCGAAATCTCGTTAACCAGGGCGCTCGTTAACCGAGGGACCACTGTATTATCAAATGGGAAGACAAAACTGCACATAATAATTTAAGCTTTATAGTACTGTGCAGTCCAGTACACCTAAGCATTTCTAACAACTACCATGCTGCTCTACCAGGAGGAAAGTCCAGTTCTGTTTGGGTATAATTTCATTAGTAATCTTTTCAGTTTCCTCTATTATTTTTACTTATCCTCATCAATGTTGTCACCAGTTTTATACTTTAACTCAAATTTTATTAAAGAATTGTAATGATCCAGTCAGACTAGTAATTCTTATTTTTACTTGCCCAAACTGAAGTTTACTCATATCAGACAAGTGAGTTCAGTTTTGTAAAAAAAAAAAAAAAAAAAAATATCGTGTCTCCAAATCCAATTTATAAAAGCTGGGTACTACAAACTAAAAATTGATTACCTGTTTTTGTTTCCAGAAATCACAGTATGCCTTTTGTTTTGGTTTGGAACCTAACATTTATAAAACGACATACAGTACCTGTACTGTATATATATGGGCAATATTACCACCATGAAATATCTCAAGCTTTAATGTTCCCTGCACCAGAGTTAATGATTGTGTTAACACTCGCACATACACACCTCTTGTGAATGGGCTGACACATATTGATCATGCGGTCATACACCCCAGAGTAGAGCTGCTTAAAGTTCTCAACAATTTCCTGCTTCTTCTTCCTACGAGAATCTTCATGTTTGTCAACTCGTGCATCACCCAGTTGTTCTGTTACAGTCTCTAGTTGTTCTTGAAGCTGTGTTATTCTCTCCTTGCTGTACCCAACATCTGATACCAATTCCTAATTGAACAGCCGTAAAAAATAAATAAGACACATAGGTAAGTGTTGATGTAAATGTACGTTGGTGCATATGCATAGATTGATTCCTGATTCACCATCTTAGGTTTTTTATTAAAATTTCAAATACATATTACAGTACCTTCTTACTAAATAGCAATAAACAGTATGTTTCTTATCTGTACTCTTTCTAGTTTTACAGTAATAGCCTTACAGCATGTCCAATACATTTGCAATTTTGTTTCAAATTTCAAATTCTCTGACAAATAATTACTTGGAATGAAATGCACATACAAAACATTACCAGCTGATGACGACAAATACCATAAATACAGCAGGTAAATTATTACATATGGATAGGTAAAGCACACAAGACTGAAAAACAAAATTTCTGTAAAACCAAATGGCAAAGACACACTAAGTGTTTAGCAACCATCAATATCCTCACTTTTTACCCTACCACTTCCACAGCCCAATACAATGGCACTTTAATCATAAATTCAAATTTCAGTCACAATTAGCTACAACATATGAAGTCATAAAAGGAAGTGTGGCAATGATAGAACACATGAGCTTTTCACTTAATTATAAAACAAGAAAGTGTATAAAAAATGCCTAACTATAATTACTCTTCAATTATTACTGGGATCATGGAATAATTACCCTTAGAAAGGGCTACTTTCAAGCATGTCATACCTGTCTCAGCCGCTTCTGATCTTCCAGTGATGCCTCAGATTGACGTATGTGTTCCATCAGTTTTTCTACCCTCTTCTGTGCCTCCTCCAACTCATGTCCCTTTTGTCGTAACCGATTTTCTATCTCAGCCGTACGCCGTTGGGCATTATCGAGGCGGTCCTGATCAGACTTCTGTTCACGGTTAATGGAGTCCAGTTCTTGGAGGTACTGGGCTGACTTGCGGGCTGCTGCATTTTTTAGTTTATGATACTCCTTAACCTGTACCTCTTCCAGCTGTACACTCTTACCTGGTAAAAATAATCGTCAAATAAAACAATCTGCAATCCATAGAAAATTAATTCATTATTTTTACATAGTTTGATGCACAAAAACACACACACATTTCACAACAATCAATAAAGTCCTTTCCAGAAATGTGGAATACATAAGAAAAGAATTCCCCATGACAGAAGTGAAAAAAAAACTTACACAAGACGACAAGAACACGTAATGTTCACTATTTGAGAGTTGACGCCCACAATACATACCTTGACTCTCAGAATCCTGCGAGACCTGATCCTCAAACTCGCCTCTTTTCTTCTCCACTTCTTGCAGTTCGCTCTCCAACTCTCGGATGTCATCCATGTGAGCATTGTGGGCCTTGATAGCCTGGGCAAGTGACTTGCGTGCTGAATCTGCCTTCTTCTGCATGTGTGTCACTCTCTCCTTTGCCTTAATGAATGTTGGTCGCTTTTTATTCACTTCAGATTCCTGGAGAGTTAATTAAATTAGTTATGTAAAATACACTACAGAACAAGAAATAAATGAAGAGTAAACAGGATGTTAAATGTCAATAAAAAAATACAGCTACCGGGTCCTCAGAATCCAACTAAGGTCACTGAGTGCACAGTTAAGTTATTTGTGTATTTGCTAAGAACAAACACACCTGCTTAAAATTATTCAGAAATTAATTACAGTATACTGTACAAAAAAAAAAAAAATTTCCCATTATTTAAAGTCTTTATAACCTTTTGTGAAACTTCTACAGAAACGCGATGTAAAGTTGTGCTGGTGATGATCGCTAAAGTGCATATGCTTGTTGACTCTAAGCCATAAATAACAATAAATTAAAAAATTTAACATATCCGAGTGAGCCAAATATTCATGTGCTATTTTTTATTAAGATCAGGTTTGGTCATAGTTAGGCCTGCCAGAAATAAAATTTACCTAAAAATTAAAAAGGTTACCTTTTGTAAATGACACTCAAAGATTCCTTGATCAGTAAGAAAACTTTGTCAAAAAGTTTTACTAAGGTGTAATTATTCTTAAAATACTCTACAGATTTAATCTAGTTATAGGTCTACAATAAAAGTATTAATTGAATCTAACAAACTTTAGATAGTTTTATTAACCTTACATTTCTCAAGGTTATATATGATACAGTAATATGTGATATTAGCCTCAAAGTCTTGGTTTGAGGACTGATCTGTGAAAGCAAAAGCACATCAACCACACAGCAAATGTTCCCTATGAACATGCCAACCAGTCTTGTTGCTGGTTATGTGGGAAGACTGATGGGACAAATTTTTATGCAATATGTTTTAAGTTTCTTTCACAATTATACGTTGGAGTTATTATTCACTCAAGACAAAATAATATGCTCTCTACAGCACAGAAAACCACAGATTTTTCTCCCATGGCCTCCAAGGGAAACTAGTGTCTGGCAATGGGCTGCTTCTCAGACAGTGGTTACACCTTGGTACTGTAGTGGCTGATAAACTTACCAACTCCCTGATATCTTGCTCCATTTTGGCCATTTCCCTGGATACTCTTGTGTGTTCCTTCTTCTTCTCTTTCAGCACTTCCTCTGCCTTCTCTTTCTTTTTCTCCACTTTCTCTAGGTCTCCGTGCTTTCTACGTGCCTCCTTTTCATACTCGGCAATCTCCTTTTCATTGTGGTACAGTCGGAACAGCTGCATCTCTACTTGTTTTTCACCCTACCATGAAAATTTTTAAGTTATTGACCTAGCACATGTCATGTTCTTCAATAATTAGTGTAAAATATCCCTGCAGTGTCTCTGAAACAGAGCTAAAAAAATATAATGTTTTAAGAAACCGTAACAAGAAGCATTAAATCTGGTATACACCATTTCTTGATGCTTTCCCCTTTCTTCGAGGTTCTGCACCCCTTGATCTGCCTCACACAAAATGGCACGTGGAAAAAAAGATGACATCACAGATGAGTAGAGAACTCATTCCTGTTCCGTTCCATCAAAATATCAGGACTCATTCAAGAATCATACTCTAAACAAGGATAAGTCTATTGACAACCTGACAACAAATCCATACTACAATGCACCCATCTTTAATGGTGGTATAAAAATTCATACTGCATTTATGTGGAGGATTTGATGTCAAGTATGTACAGACTACATGATGCATTTAGTTCAGAAGTCCATAAGTTAAACTGGGGATGCATTACATTTTACACACTGGTAAAATTTTATTAATTCCCAGATAATCTTTCTTTACTCCCTTTTTCCCTCCGTCATACATAGCCACCAATTCATTCCCACAACTCAAACTACCAAAATTTTTATAAGTTATAGGTTACTGTATTTGTTGTTTATAAGAGTACATACAAGAGCAGTAGCCGAGGATTCATATATTTAACATATGCAGGTTAGGTTACAGTATGTCATAATTTGTTGGACACCCTGAAGCTTATTTACAATGTCCACTTTGTCACTCAGTCTGAGCTTAACTGACTTTCACTGCAATTATTGTATGATTAACACTGCACTTCTGAGACAATGTTAGTTCTGTACAACAAAGCCCAGCAAATCTGTTAAAAACATGATACTATGTCTGTAGAAAAATAGAAGAAATGTGTGTATACACAAAGCAGCATTATCTTCTCTTTTTATATGTTTGTTCTCCATTAAATAGTGAAGTGCACAGGATCATGAGTCATATCAGTGCAAGAGTATCATTGGTCAGCTATATTATTCCTCAAGTTACTTTATGTTATGGGTTCTGTCAAGTCAACCACGCCATTGGAAAAATGCACATGTACATGGATAAAATAGGTAGGGTGGGGTAATATGCTGTACAAAGATGACTATACTACCAGATGTTGATAAAGAGAATCCTTACCAATTCATCCTTCAGCCTCTGGTACCTCTCGGCTTCCTCCTTCTCTTGCTTGGCTTCCTTACGTTCTGCTGCTATTCCCTTCTTCTTCTGGTAGGTGAACTGGGTGTCTTCTTCAGCCTTCAACATCTCTGTCTTCAGTCGGTCATACTCTTCCTTTAAAGCCCCAGACCTGCAATCCGCATTACTGGCTTAGATTCTTGTTTAACTTCTCTAGTAAACAAAATTAAGAGAACCGAGGAAGCTTGGGCCACCGGGAAGGACAATAACAGATTTAGCAACAAAAGCAAGGGGTGCCAGGAAATGGGAATAAATGGGCGATACAACCACGGGGTAAAAAGGCAAAGGCTAGGACAGATGTGGTAGCCGATGCATGAAGTCATCACATAATTGTACAGTTAAACAAGTCTACAAATATAAACATCACTGGTCAGAGTCCTAATAACTACGCTTTCCCTCATCACACACAACACTTACCCACTAATTTCCTCAAAGAGTGCTGTTCTCTCCTTTGGGTTTTTCATAGCTATGGACTCGACGGCTCCTTGGAATACCAAGAAGTTTTTGCCCTTCACATTGATGCCCAGTGCCTCGAGTTCCTTCATGTAAGTCTGACTGCTCACAACCTACAAAAAATATTATTTTTAGTGGGAAGATCAGCAGTCAAAGCAGCATTAGAACATTCTGTATAAACCAGTGTACAGTAGACATGTGTTGTTTTTAAACTAATAAATATACACAGTTACATAAGGTCAAGGCTGAATTACTTTAGGGCCTCTCTAGAGTTCTCATGCAAGACTAAATCATACTGAGAATACAATGGCTAGTATCACCAGAACGACTAAGTCCACCTCCAGTATGTAACCCAGCTCACAATTGGGAGTCTTGACACTACCGCTTTACTATCATGTCCTGATGAAAAAGTTTATTGTACTAAAACAGTCTCATACATGTATCAAATATAACTAAGATATCCTCTTTCCAGGACTTCCAAAAACTTAAAAAAATACAATGATATCTCCTTTAGCCAGAACAATTGGTGCAGAGCACTTCCAGGTAACGAGACGACTCTCTCAAAGCCAGAAAAAATCACTCATCCCCAGAATTTTCCAGGTAATGGAAAAATGTTCCCAGAAGTTCCAGAAATTGCCCATTACATCATCTCTCGATCCCGGAAAAAATCCCCCATTCCCGGAATTTTCCGGGTAACGGAATTTTTTTTGGAATTTCCAGAAAATGCACCCGATTTTCATCTCTCAAACCCGGAAAAAACTCCCCCATCTCCGGAATTTTCAGGGTATTGGGAAATTTTCTCAGAATTTTCCGGAAAATGTGCCCCTCGGAGAATCGTTCCCAAAGCCTGAATTTTCTGGAAAATTCAGGCTTTGGGAACAATTTTCCAAGAAAATTTCAATTCCGGCTATCGAAGAGTTCTGGGTTTGAGGGATTCTGGCTAACGGAGATATTACTTTACAGTATTACCACAACTATGGTGTTCCCCTTCACTCAGAGGCTACAAGAAATCTATCTATCACATCACACAAACTAGTTTCAGTCATTCATGTACTGTATACTATTGTTTCCCTGTTGCTGATGGTACCATACATGTAGATGGTGTAGTAATGAAAAAAAAAAGTCATGACTGGCTGAGGATCTAAGGTCTATGCTTTAACACTTCAGCTGGTACCAGTGACAAGCTTCGGTATACCCAACTTCTAGTTAACCATTGAACTGTGAAAATCAAGACAATACAGTACAGTACAGTACAGGTACTATAAACATGCATTTTTACAAAGAACTTAGATAAAACCAGAGTTTTCACAGCAGGAAACTGGTAATTTTACCGGCCTAAACATGTTACTGGACACAAAATTTTAACTTACATCACCATTAATCTTGTGGTCCGATGATGATCCCTGAACCATTCGAGTGAACCGCTTCTCCCTGCCATCCTCCATTTCAAACACCGCTGTTACATGTGCCGAGCGAGAGATTGGCTGGCCAATTGACGCACCATGGATGAGGTCGCTAAGTCTTTTAACACGTAAACTTGAGGTCTTCTCACCCATAACAAAGGAGATGGCATCCATAAAGTTCGATTTCCCTAAGAAAAATACGTAAATGTAAATACTGTATCTGGAATATATTAATATCTATGATAGAAAATCAACATAAACAAACTTGTATAGATACTGTAAACACTGTACTTCAATTATACTTAAGCTAATTTATCCTCTTCAATACTGGTCAACATTCTAGCCAATCAGGCGGTCCGTTATGTCTCTGTTATACACTGTTAGTGAGTACAGTACTTGGCATACACAGGCTCTAGACTGTACCTAAACATGTGCCATTGTTGTTCCTAAATTTCCTTACAATTACACCCTGATAATTAAGAAATGAGTAAACACCTACATAACAGAGAAATAAAAGGGTTGTCTAGTACATCTGTCAGTTGGTAAATAATGTGATATATATACAGCTCTATATTTATATAACACCTAGTTTCACTTGCAACCTGAAAGCCCACACTACCAGCCACCCATTTGTGTGTTGGCCAGCTGGATTTCAAGATGCTATGAAGCCTTTCATGTTATTTGTCTCGAGCTATAAACGTTAACGGCTGCCGTACCTATATCCAGTACTGTACGTATTTTTTATTAGTGAGTAAGAAATAGAATAACATCATTATCAGTTTCAATGAAATGTTCAGACGACGATGTATCCTGTTGCTCTGATAAACAAAGGTGGCAACAGCAAGCATCAGCAGTGTACATTTTTCTTGACAAAAAGTAAAACTACAAGGTAGTGACAAAAATCTAAATACATACTGTAGAAGTGATATTCCTCCACCTGATTTGTTTTATTCTTAAGTAAGACACCAGTTTTCTTTTCCAGAAATTTTTCCTTAGGAGGCAGAATGACCCAGGCGACTGTCATTAAACTTTAAAAGAAGATTTGGTAAAATTAACGTTTCGGTCATCCTTATGTTTTTCCGACGGTTTTTGGCGTGTTTGGAATGATTTTGAGCTTACCTAACCTAACTTAACCAACCCAACCACAGAACCCAGGAACTATATCTAACCTAACCTGAATTCCCAAGATTCCCCAGACAACCTGAACAATAATAATACTGAATATTTTCCTAAAGTGGCTCTTTCTAAGAGGACGATGGAAATTAATATATACAGTCTCTCCTCGACTTACGACGGGGTTCCATCCCGACGACCAGGTCGTAAGTCGAAAAGGCGAAAATAATACATAGAAATTCTAAAATGGGTGTCTCTTTTTCTTCTTGGCACCACGAGAACTCTCACTTTTACGCTTGCCAGCCATTTTAAACGGAAATACAAACAAAAATTTTGTCAGTACACAGCGCGATCACTAATGTCGGGACTCATAAATACGTAATGTGAAAAATATTTTATACAACCATGGCTGTCGTATGTCTGGTTTGTCGTAAGTCAAGGAGAAACTGTATTCAGTAAATCCTCATTTAACATTGCCCCCGACAACTTTGTGTCGTTATAACGTCCCTACTCTTTAGATACCCATGATTAAGACAACGTCCCGCCAATTCGGTATAACGTTGTCACGGACTACTTTGTATGGCGCATCACCCTCTCTCATCCCGTCAGAGCGGGAGGTGGAGCCACCCTCTGGGTCTCAGTGACTCGCCACCTTCCTTCTCTCCACTACCCACCACACACTCGTTCCATCTGTCCATCAGCGAGTACAATACAAAATTATTTTTCTTTTTTCATGTACTGTATAATATATACTATTGTCGATAAAAATTCCATTGAATTTATGTATATATAATGTATTTTCTGGGGCAAAGGGAGGCTAGGGAACGTAACTCCCGTCTTTTATCTATTTCTTATGGGGAGAAATTTATTCCGTTAACGTCGCAGTTTTCAGGAACGGAACCACAAAGTTGAGCGAGGACTTGCTGTACCTTATCTTCTAATTACAGGAGTACTGTACTATGCACTAAGAAAACACCACTCTTGTCAAGTATTACCTAACATAGTTAATACTGTTTTCCTCATCTGCAACTAGATATTTTTTTTAAATGAAGTGGTTATTTGCACCCCATAGTGCAAATAACGATTTCAGAAATTTGCACCCAAATTTTCACACTAACAAACCAATCCTCTTGATGACGAGAATCAGGTGCAAATAGTTAAACCATTACAGCATTTGAACCTGAGAATTCATCAATATTATTGAAAATTAAAAAAATTTTGCACTGACAAAACTCGGGCGCAGATAACGGTTTCACTATCCCTTAAACAAACCAATAGGTAAGGATAGCCAGGTTTCTTTGGATAGGTTGAATATGTACCAGCTGTCAAAGTACTGTAAGTTCTTTCTGCTTAATATGGCAGGGGGTCTGGGGATTAGGGAGTTATGTTAGGTTAGGTTCTGTACCAGATATCAAAGTATGCATATGATAATAAAGTAGATAATGAAGATGATTTTAATTTTCATAATTCCATTATAAACATTAATGACAGACAGAGAGTCAGTGCAAATAACTTCATTGGTCATTTTTACTCTAATTTTATTATCCCACAATTCTTTTTCATCCTTCTTTCATTGGATAGGTTTTGGTAATATCATGTGTAATTAGGTGCAGTAATTTGAACCCGAATTCCACTATGACACACCTCGGGTGCAGATAACAGTTTCACTATCTGTACCCGATACCTTGATAATAAGGTTCAGGTGAAAATACTGTACCTTACAGCCTTTTTGACATTTTTTTTATTTTTGTACACAACATTCACGAAGTATTGACCTAACATTTAAACCAATTTCTACTCTGCAAGAACAAACTCATTGGTGGTAGTGAAGCACCTATAGCAGTTTGTAACGCACCTAACAGAATTAGAAGTACAAACTGTTTTGGTCACATGACACAATGCTTTAAGGTCATTGGTTGTCATGTCGGTAAGAGGAGAGAAATAACTGGCAACATCCAGGGGACCATAAAATTGCAGATTACAGCAACCAAAGAATCTGATAAAAAAAATGTTACCTAACGTAATATAATATGATCATAGAAAAAAATAGTTCTATTGATTGAGTGTAGTGAATTTCCAGAATTCTGTGGTTGCTGTTTACTGCAATATTACCCAGAAATTTACACCTAGAAATTTGTGAGATCATTAATATTGATATGGACAAGAAATGATATGAAGTCGTATGTTTTGTTTTTTATTGTCTGTGTTTGTAATACTGAAAATTGGAAACCTGCAGACAGCCAATGGACAAATACTAGCCACTGTTTTTCACTATAAACATTGATACAGGAATATTCAGATAAGTACATAAAATAATATACCTGTTAATAACTATGGTAATATTGCAGTTTACAGCAATCACAGAATTCCGGAAATTCACTACACTCAATCGATAGAACTATTTTTTCTAGGATAATTTTCCTATATTAAACTTTCGTCGCAAATTGATAATAAGGAAGTTATTGAATTTTAAATAGAATAAAATCAGAGCACCTGTTGCCCCTTACATTGCTGCTCAAATTGTGTGTCCGTACGTTCGCTTACTTCCTACGCATGTACCGGGGGCGGCTGCCAATCAAATGGGTGCGATTTCGATTATTGGAAGTTTATTGTATTATTTCATTCTAAAAATAAGGAAACTTTAGAGAACAGAGGAACCCACGACGCATTCTGGTCCCTGACTCAGACTCTTGACTCGGTAAGGTAAGAAATACTGTAATGGCTATTTATATTCTCGTGGAGGCTGACCACGCGACTCTTAAGGTTATTACATAGCATTTGGTGGTCCAGGGGCAGAGGTAAGGTTTAGTTTGGTTATATGGTATAAACTCCCAAAAACAAACTATGATTAACAAGGTCTGAACAACTCCTGAACGCACAAGTTAAAGAACACAGAACAAAAACATATATAAAAGATTACATTATTATACAAAGTTATTTAATGATTTACTGAAAATAAGTTAATAATTTACCTGATCCATTAGGGCCGATGACAGCCGTGAAAGGCTTGAGTGGACCAACATGATAGAATCCCCGATAAGACTTGAAGTTCTCCACCTCTATGTATTTCAGTATGGACTTCATTTTAATTTTTCTGTGGTTAACCAAGGAACGCGCATCATCACTAAGGCACCATCACTAAGGTGTATCATCAACTGAGAATAATTAGTAATAAAATGTGGAGATGCAGCCAATAACGCGGGAAAATGGCGGGAAGACAAACATCAACAAACCTCTAGCTATGATGATGGTTCTGTTTTATATCATTTTACATATGTGACCTTATAATCGCTTGTCTATTCATATAAAATTTAAGTAACTTATAAATTCTAGAATATATATCTATGAAGAAGTATTTATACACATACTGTACTGTATGACTAATGGTGATTCATCAGCCAAGTGAACAATGTTAGAAAGGTTTACAAACAATGTAGCGAATTAATTTCTTTTCTAGAATTCATTTACTCGCCAAAATGAGCATGAATAATCCACAATTTTCTTAATTTTCATATTATTATATATGATTAAACTTAGGTCTTGTTTAAAAAGTAAAAATAAGCTACATTGGGTTTATATTCTTGGTATATTTCTAACATTGGATACTTCACTTGCCTTCTTGTCGGTGAAGTCATTTACTGTTAGTTTTTCCTCATACTAATACTTCACTTAAAAGTGGATATATATTAGAATACTAAATACCAGATGAAATGTAGTAAATGTTATTTTAAAGAGCATATATACGGGAGTGTAGGTTTCGTGACGTGAGTCGGGGCGTCGTCTGCTAGAGGGAAGGGAAGCATACAAGAGGCAGGACACTGAGTTGTTGAAGAGATAATACCTCACTGGCACCTCCACACACACACGAGTCGCTCTGTTTACAAACATAACGGAAAGTTTTGGTGTGTTGAACGGCGTAATTGTAATAATATAAGATGTAAGTATAATGGGGAAGTAAGGAGAACGTGGATGATAACTCTGATTTAAATACAACTATCATTATTATCTAGGTCCAGACTTCAACACGGGAAGTAAGTACTCAATCTCCACTGTATAATTAAGTTTAGGTATGTATCACCTGAAGATTACAATCCTAGCTTGTTTCTCCTAATAATTAAACACCCTAAATCTACCTGCATACAGTTCACCAACCGTACACTTGTATGATAATTTTGCTGAATTACTATTTATTCATGTATCTTATCTACGTCCCAGCAATTCAATGGTTACCCCTCATTATATTTCCTCTTTTTAGATACTAGATGGCGCTACTATCAGTTGGTTAGCGATACCTGGCAGTTATATTTATCTACAAAATGTTGGTGTAGTTCCAGGTGCTCCCCCATCCTCCTAACACAGTACTGCAGCGCATGGACGAGAGGAGTAACACCGCTTCCTCCCGCCAGTCATATCATGGACATTGTGTTGTAGACGTCGCCTTATACAGCCATGGCGAACACCACCATGAACGGCCACCAAAGCCCTAGCAAGAGGGTGTACAAGGTGGTGTTGACGGGCGGTGAGTACCATCCTCAGCTGCTTAAAATACACAAATGAATGAAATATACCTGTGAGGTGTTATGGGTCAGGTGGGAGTCATTATGGTGGTGGTGTTGTGGTCTTGAGGAGCGAGAAACGTGTGTGTGGTTGACGAGCCTTGCTAGTATTAGACATTATCCTATTTCCCTGACAATCAGTCGTATATATTTTCATGGCACTTTCTTTTTAGTTGCATATATTTACTGAATTACAGCTGTATGCGTGTATGCGATATAACAGCTGAATTCCCTTACTGTTATTGGTGTAATGTGCTTGATATTGCATTTGTATGTTTTTATTACTACATAAAATTAAGGACAGTATAGTAGGAGAGTAGGCTGGGTTACCCGAGAGGCGAACATAACATTTTCACCACTATGCGTATAATGACCACCGAAATGCGAGTTTTGTGGCTTGTAATTTAACCTGATACACTTATAAGATTGGTAATGTTAGGTAAATATTTTTAATTTAATTTATCAAGACCTCGGGTGGATAGACAACATCCACGGCTTAGTGTTACCGCTGATAACTATAATTTATTACCCGCGTGTTGAAGAACAATTAACTGTGTGTGTTCAATTTTATGTGTATTAATGTTTTGGTCGGCTTGATATGACAAATCGATTTGTTAAAAACGGACGCCACTGAACTAGTGCTTCGAGGATTTTTATTATTAGAAAAATGTTTCCTTATCTTTTATATGTATAGATTGGTTTTGAAACCTCCAAAAATCGCCGAGTCTACTTAAGAAATAGCAAATTTAATAGCTCCATTGTTCTTATGTAGATATATCCTTGATCGTGTTTAGCTGGATATTGTTTTACGAATGACATTTATAAAATTGTGGATGCAGAAAAAATATGTACATGGCAGATATATATTTTTGGTATTTTATTATTTAATACTGAGCTTTCAGATGCGAGTTATTAGAAATGCTGTTGAAATCTACTGTACAGAAGTGGGAATCATTTTTATTCAAGGAAGCAAGGGTAAACATGGGTTTTATTTTAATTTCATGGGATTAATTGCTGCACATTTTATCTACACCGTTCTCGTCGGGAATACAAACTGAGCAAGATGTATAATGGTGTGCGTTCCTTGTTCATTTTGATATTTAGGCTTTGCTGCACTTGGTGGGAAATCGGTAAGTGAATTGCGTAATAGTATTTTAAATATTGAACTTTCACATATCCAGATGGATTAATTGAAATAGTTTAGTGTACAAGAAACGTAAATGTTCAGAATGAATTAACTGGGAGCCAGTCTTAAGGTTAAGTTGAAATAAGGGATTGCGGTCCATCCAGAAGGTATAGTGATGGAGTGTTTGAGTGTGATAAGAGGAAATTGGTATATGCAAGTGATTTTGATATCGAATTGAGAAAAAATGTGTGTTGGAAATGTAATGACATTAAAACATCATTGCACGTGGATGGTGTGCTGGTGATGATTATTGAAACTAAATTTTAAAAATATATTTTCGTGTCACGAGAAGTGTTGTTATTTTATCATCTACCTTATAATTATATACCTATTGGCCACCCACTAAAGGTGGCCATGTTGAGGGCAGGATGCCACTGGCTTGTGTAGGATCCCTCCATTGTTCTTGATAATTTTGTCAAGGGCCATTTTGAAGCCCAGTACTGTTCGTGATTTGAATTCTTTCAAAGCTGGACATATGCGTCTTTGATGAAAATCCATCTTTCTTTTTTTACTGGGTATGTTTTTGTTTTTGTTTAACCCAGACAAACTTTTAAACGTCTTCTTAACACACTAACTCACACAACCTTCAAATAAGTTTTATGCCAATTTTGAATCCCGGAACTGGCCTCCCAAGTCAGGCTGTGGACGGAGGCCAGAATTGCATCTACTGTATTTTATTTTTACCCGCCACTAATTTCCTAGATCAGATCACGTGTCAGACGAAAACAGTGTAACAGTTTTGTTTTTGTTTAGAAGTCCCTTGAGGCGGTAAGGTGTATTGTGGTTGACCTTGTGGAAGGAGGGCGGGGGGGCGTAGATGGGGATATGGGAGCATTGTCGGGCTTCGCTACCTATAGACAATTCCACCCTTTAGTGTACCTGTATGTGTACACTCCTGTACACACTGAGCTCGCATGCTTATTTACCTTTATTAAGGTAAAGCAATCTAAAAGTGTACGTTTTACAGCTACCCAGGTGCGTGTACTGTATACCCTTATGTATTTCTAGTTATACGTGAAGGTAAAATTATAGTTTCCGTCATCCCTGTATTTAGATATCCAAACTATTCTAACGTAACCTAACCTATATTTGTAATGTACGTGATTGTACAGTATATTTACTTGTGTGAATAGTATGTACAATGAAAGACAAAAGTCGTGTCGTGAAATTTGGTGAAAACATATGCCTAAAGGCTAAAACTTTTGGTGCGCTCTGCCTTGTGGTAGGGCTCTCATAATGTTTCACCAGTTATATTTACTCTTCGGACAAAACCGCGCCACAACTTTGTACATAAGCCCACGTGTTTTATTGACAACATTATTAGGAAGACATTAAAAACGTGTATACCTTCCATACACGCTCACGTTTAATGTCGTGTACCAATAGACCTTCATAACTGTAGCTCCTGTTATTTATATCCTTGTGTTGTTTATATCTTTGTGTGGTTTGTGTACCCAACTTCTCGGTAATAGTTTATTACACACACACACACCACCTGCATAATGCATAGCTTTACCACGTTTCCCGCGTACTACTCGGCTGTTGTGGGCTACATTTGACTCCCCAGTAGCGTAGTACTACAGTATTGCACATACAATGATGGCGCTGACCTAACCTGATCTAGCCCATCTAATTTGACCGCGTCTAGTCAAACCTGACGACCATATCTCGACAATGTTTTGACCTCATTTAAACCTACGTAAATTAACAAACTGACAACATAAACCCAACCGAAGTGATGTGAACCCATAATTATGCCCCAAAATATGGTACCGTACTTGGTATTCAGTGTGCTGTGTACCAGGGTCCCGAACTGGTCACCAAGCCTGTGATACCCACTTTTACTTTTCAAAGATTACCTGAAGATTAGATTCCCCAGCTTATATCACCTAAAGATTAACCATCCTAACGCTAACCTTCTCATTTAACCTGACCTTCCTTCCTAAGGGTGGTTAATCTTCAGGTGGTATAAGCTGCATGGGGTGTGTAATCTTCAAGTGAATAGAATTGTTACTTGTGCCTGTGGTGCGTCAAAATTAGTATCTCGCTGACCTACAACTGACACACTGGCCCAGTCTTATAACTAGTCTCGTAACCGAGTATTGTATGGCTGCTTATGTTCACCTCCGTGCTCACCTTCATGACCTGACCGCTGGATGTTTTCAACCCACGAGGGTTATTTTTTCCCAAGTGTATAGTAGCTTAGTTTTGTTAGGCCTTGTTTTATTTTTAAGACGAGGAAAAATAGGGATCACCTGAAGTTTAGGCACCCGGACCAATTTAACCTGGTGATTAAATAATGGGGAGATTATACTAGGTTAGTGTTTCATCATTTGGAGGTATAGGAGTTTACACGTCCTCAATTAATGAAAATTCCAAAGCACGAGCCCATGAGGAACCAGACTTCAGGAGCAATAGGGATCGGTTGTAAACAGGGCTGCCCAGTATGGGCCAATAGACCTGCTGCAGTTTCTTCCATTCATATGTTCTTTTGTCGATGTTTGGATGACTGCATGGAGCTGCAGCGGATGATGGATGGAGGAGTGAGTGACAAGATACGGCTGTCGATGGTGGACGGTCGGGTCGGCTATTTAAAGGTACCCGAGAGGGGCCGCCCCCCCCTGGGGTCACACGCCTCTGTTTTATAGTATACTGTGTGTTGGCTGTGATTTATAACCTATTATGATGTATCGGGGACAGCGACCAGCGTGTTATCGGGCAAAATTTATGGTATTATCGTTTCGGTCATCCAGCTAATTTTAGGATTTTAAGTTACTACATTAGTTGGGCGGTAACACGTCAAAACCCACCGGAAAAACATAATTTCAACTTCTAACAAGGTGTATGACCGAAACGATAATTTTACCAAATTTATTGAATTATGTTCAGTGTGTTATGAGAGGCTTACGTCACCACCTGCGTCACCTTGGCTACCTCTGAGCACTTATGTTTTACCACACAAAGGAAGTAACGTTGAAATATCTGACCTCACCGACTAGACGTCACCCTCGGGTTATAAGGTTGCTCTTGTTTGTGACGGTGGTTACGCCCCTAGGTAAGGCTGGTCGGTATAAGCGAAGCCTGTACTAACGAAAGCTTTATTAGAGTCCTTATTAAAATTGAGGTTACGTTTCCTATCACAGCTATTGTCCCCATTTTTGGAAGTTTAAGGTTTGTTGTGTATGTGTTACGAGCTTTTGTTCCTGAGGAGTAGTAAAGGCGATGTTGGAATGTACACTATATTATCAAACGCCAACAATAATCAAAACAATCGCCACACTCATACACCATTCGTAGTTACACAAATATCAAACAATACGCTAACAATCCCCACAATCCTACCACATACAAGGTACATAAAATATTACAAACCTACATTACATTCTCGGCCACAGTAACACAGTTTGCTATGACCCACAACTGACCAGTGACCACCAGCTCCACACTCTCGTCCGTCCAGCAAAGCTCTGCCTTCCTCCCTCCCTCGTGTACTGTACTGCTTCATTACACCTCCGTTCGAGATCTGAACAACACAGATACGGGGCTTCGGAATGCCTAACAATGAGCTCAAGCTGTGGATCATCCAATGAATCCACGATCCATGATTCAAGGTTCGGAACATCGAGTCGGGAGATCGAGTAGCGGGGCGGAGCAGTGGGTCGGGCAGCAGCCAACACGGGTCGATGGTCAGGCACCAGTTGGGTCTTCAAGCTTGTTCTATATCCAGGTTCATAATAATGTGGTGCAGGACGTATTGTAAGTACTGTACTGTACTCA